GGACGGTCGGGGCGGGCGGGGATGTTGGAGATTGATCTCACCACCCCCCAGTGACAGCGATCGGGGGAGCAGTGCGGTCGTGGGGCATGGCCAGTTAGTGCACAAGACCCCTCTCTCAGGCCCAACGGTGCCTCCGCCCCCGTGCTGCCTCTCGAGGAATTGATAAGCCCAAAGTTTGTCGGCGAAGGCGGCTTCGGCTCAGTGTTCCGGGCACAACATAGGACTTGGGGCTATGATGTGGCAGTCAAGATCGTGAACTCGTGAGTGACCTCGGCTGCAAGCCGGCCGAGGTTTGACCTAGAAGGCGGGACGCAGCCTGAATGGGGAAGGGAGGGAGATCTTCCCAGGACAGGAACCCGACTGCAGCTCTCTCCCCGGAGTGTAGGGAGGCGATATCGAGGGAGGTGAAAGCCATGGCAAGTCTTCGTAATCAATACGTGTTGCTCCTGCTGGGGGTCACCGAGAACCTGGAGTGGGGCTACGTGTCCGGACCAGCTCTGGTGACCCGATTCATGGAGAATGGCTCCCTGGCTGGGCTATTGCAGCCAGAGTGCCCTCGGCCCTGGCCACTCCTTTGCCGCCTGATGCAGGAAGTGGTGCTGGGAATGTGTTATCTGCACAGCCTGAACCCAGTGCTCCTGCACCGGGACCTCAAGCCCTCCAACGTCCTGCTGGACCCAGAGCTGCATGTCAAGGTCAGCCCATCTAAGCTCCACTCCAGCCTTGGGACAATGCCCCTTTCCAGAGCTGTTCCAACCCCACGCACTGGATTCAGGACCTGTGGCAGCTCTGTCTATTGAATACCCTCATCCTTTCCCTCTGGACTCAAGACTGCCCAGGGAGTTTAAGCCAGGAGTTTAAGCTCCTGGCATATCAGGTGACAAAGGCCCTGACCCACCTGTTCACTTCCTCAGGCCCAATCCACCAGGCCTTCCTAGGAGCCATAGCAAACCCAGCCCAGTAGACTCACTTTTCCTCTGACCCTTTGTACCCCTTTTACAAAGCAGGACCTGTACCTTCTGGAGGATGGGGACAGATTATTCTGGAGACTGTCCAGTTCCCTCAGTCTAATATCTCCTCCTTCCCTTCCTTTGCAGCTGGCAGATTTTGGGCTGTCCACATTTCAGGGAGGGTCACAGTTAGGGGCAGGGTCCAAGGAACCTGTAGGTACGGTGGCATACTTGGCCCCAGAACTGCTTGCTAATGTAAACCGGAAGGCTTCCCTGGCCAGTGATGTCTACAGGTAAGGCACCCACATCAAGTGTACATCCCAGATTTCTACCTCTGGGTCCTTGTTGGGATGGTATATTGGAGAGGAGTTTTGCCAGTGGTTGGCCAGGCTTCTATCTTGTGTCTCCTGCAGCTTTGGAATCCTCATGTGGGCAATGCTAGCTGGAAGAGAAGCTGAATGTAAGACTAGGCAGCCCTAGGTGCCTCCCTCTGAAGATCCCAAGCACTCCCTTTCCTGCTGAAACTGCCTTTACCTTCCTCACTGCCTCTACCCTCCTCACCTCCCCCTTGGGCAACACTCCCTGACCCTGCCTAACGTACAGCCTTTTCTTATCACCACCCTCATCCCACCCCAGTTGTGGGAAAGATATCACTGGTGCAAGAAGTAGTATGTGAGAAGCAGATCCGGCCCCCATTGAATGAGATACCTCTGCCCAGCCCTGAGACTCCTGGCTTGGAAGATCTGAAGGAATTAATGCAGCACTGCTGGAGATCTGAGCCCAAGGACAGGCCATCCTTCCAGGGTAAGCTGGCCATTTCAATGGCAACTGGGGTAGCCTTGGATCTGTCTGCAGGGGACTTGTCCCAGGGAAGGACATTCTGCTCACCTGCAACCCATTCTGCTGTCTTTCAGAATGTCGACCAAAAACTGATAATGCCTTCTTCCTGGTCCAGGGAAAGATGGATGCTGCTGTCTCCAAGGTGAGTGACCAACATCAGCTCTCCATCAGGAGTTGGTCAGGGATGGCACATATGTCTCTCTTGTTCATCTATTGACTCCCCACTAGCCACTGTTCTATCATCCCCACCTTCCCACCCTACCCATGAGTTCTCAGGCAGCAGACTACGGACCAAGCAACTACTCCTTCAGGTTTAATCTGGCTCTTCCAACTCAAGTTCTTCCTGTCCCTGCAGGTGAAGAAGTTTCTGTCTGAGCAAGGAAGCAACAACAGGAGGTTGTCTGCCCCAGAAACAAGTCAAAGAGGGACAGAAATGGATGGCCCTGGGGGAGCCACAGGAAGCCAGTTCTCTTGGACTGATTCCACAATTTCTGAGAGGCTGAACAAGATGAATCTGGAGGAGTCCCCCAGCTCAGTCCCTGAAAAATCCACAAGCCTTCCTGAGGGGAGTAAGACACAGGAAGAGCAGATTCAGCATGCCAGGACAGCAAGAAGATCTTCAGATTCAACGACTCAAATTCCCCAAACACCAGAGACCTTGCCTTTCAGAAACCAGATGCGCAACCCTATCTTCACTAGGATTCCAGGTCCTGAACCACAAGGGAATCAGGTGAGACATTGGCAGGACTCAGGGATGCTCCAGGACTCCTGTAAATTCTGTTCCCTTAATAGGGAAAACCTGGGACTGTGGGGGGGGGTTGTGTAGTGGGAGAACCAGACCCCAGGACAGAAAGCTTGAGAACTATGTGTTGTTTTTAGGGATCTAAGAGATATGATGCCAACTGGTCTTCCAGAGACCCAAAGTCAAATCCAACAACAGGTACCTATTCCCTACTCTCCTCTTTTCCCCTACTCAATTTTCTACCACCTTCTTCTTTAACACCTATATGTAGATCCAGGGTATTTTTAGGGTGAGGAGAAAGAACTAGAGATCATCCAACACAATCTTTTAATTTCATAAAGTAAGAAACTAACCTACTGGGAGAGAATCCTGCTGAGGTCACACAACAAAGTCTGGACATGCCCCTGGGTATTCTGACTTTCCCCAGCACCAGTTCTATGAGAGCCCTAAATTCTGTTGTTGATACAAAAGTACAGCAGAACTCCCAGCAAAAACACCTAAATATAGGTTATTATTTTCTTGAGTTTCTGCAAAATCAATCCCAGAGAGGCAGCCTGAGGGAAAGGCACACTTTGACATAGCCACTGGTAGGCTCAGAGACTCCATGCTTGCATTTCCCCAGGCTGAACACAAGATGCCGCTGCCCCTCTGCCCCAATGTGCCTACTAATCTCATCTTTTTGACCACTACCACTCTTTCTCTTAAAGGGTCTATTATCTTAGACAATTGCTCTGCGGTGCAGATTGGAAGCTACAATTCCTTGATCATACAAGAGAGAACTACATTGCCTAAGCAGGGCCCAACACCCTTCAGCATGGGTAGGGGCTGGAACCCCCCCAAAAAATAGATTCAAAAGAAGGCTTGCCAAAACTTGAAGACTCCAGTGAGCCACAGGGCCAGCATAATCACATTGGGAATTAAAGCACCAGAGTCTAAGTTGCCAGCAGAGGCTGAGGCAACCAGTGTCACCCCTCAATCCAGCCTATGCCCAAACTGACTTTGTGATCTGCCTCCTAAGAAGTCAATAAATGTGATGGACTATAAACCAAGCCAGATGAGGGAGTCTGAGGTGTAATTGTCCTCTGTTATGGGTGGGAGAGACAGGGATGGGGGCAGGGCAGGAGCTCGCAACCAGGGAATAGGAGGTGCTGCAGCTGGATTGACCAAAGCAGGAAGGAGGATAATGGGGGTTGGGTATGGGCAACCTTGTGGCACACAAGGTCAGGGCACAGCCAGTGGCAGGAAGGAATCCTAGAGGCCTGGCTGCCCTGGTGCTCTTATTTCAGGGTGGGGTGCTTCCTCTAGAGCTCAGGACTGACTCCACCTTAAGCCTAAACTCACAGATCCCCTTTTCTTCTGGATTTCAGAGACTCAGCTTTGGGTCCCTGGGGGAAGGGGTGTTTGTGGGAAATCAAAGATGCCAGCCCTTCTCCTACCCTACTGGAATCCCTGCAGGCCCTCTCCCATCAGCCCCCTTACTGTCATATTCTCTCTCTATCTCTCTCTCTCTCACACACACACACACACACACACACACACAAACACACAAGGCTACCACAGTGGCTCACAAACACCTTGCTTCCTAAGCTTGGGGAGCATTTTTGAAATGGAAAGCTATATCTCACAAAGCTCCACACAGATTTCCCTGCTCCCAGAGCTGGACATGGTGGGAGTATGGACAATTCAGATTCTGCCACAACTGCTGCCAGAGAGGCCAGGAGTGGAGAGGAGTGTGTGTCCCTATTCTGACTTAGATTCCAGCCCCCAACTGGCCCACCAGGACTCACACTCTTCCTTATATTCTTGCCAGGCTTCACTCTAGCCCTCCTTCCGTCTCCCCACATCCAAATGTTCAGTTCCCATTTTGGCACATCCCATCAGGCAGACCCCACAGTCTCTCCCACTGTCCATATTCCCCTTTCTTGAGCAGACCGAGGACTGAAGGCGATAGTTCGGGAACACAATCCGACTGGGGGAGGAAGCCAGGGGAGTCGGCTCCGGCACGGGAAGGGGCCGGGCTGTCCTGTCGGGGAAGTGGGAGGGGGCCGTGGCGCCGAGAGGGAAGCGCCTGTCGCCCCAGGCTCTGAGCCACTAGTGTAGCACTGAGCCTGACTCCACAACCAGCTTCCCAGCTGCGGGAGTGTGGCGCGCAGTGAGTTCGGGGGGAAAGTGGGAACCCAAAGCCTTGCAGCGTCAACTCCAAGTCCTGTCTCCCCGGTGATGAAACTTTGCTAAGGCACCTCCACAGCCTGAGTTTGCGGGAGAGGCTGGGGTGAGCAGGGAGTCCGGTCACCGCCAGCTGGGAGCCAGTTGGGAGCGGGCTGGGAGGCCGCAGGGAGCGCCTGTAAGCAGACCGGGATTGCCTCAAGTTTGGAGGTGCGGAGGGAAGGGCCTTGGGGCAGGTGAGAAAGACACCGTGGAGCCGGTTGGGCTCTGAAAATAATCCAGCGTCCGGTCCACCCCAGGCCTGGGGCTCGGGACAGGGCTACCATGGCGCGCCTCTTCAGCCCGCGGCCACCCCCCAGCGAAGAAGACCTCTTCTATGAGACCTACTACAGCCTGAGCCAGCAGTACCCGCTGCTGCTGTTGCTGCTGCTGATCGTCCTCTGCACGCTAGTGGCGCTGCTCCTCGTCGCCTGGGCCAGCGGCAGGGTGAGATGGGCCTCTGGTTCTGGGGCATGCTCCAGAGCCGCGACTCTGCTGCAGCCCAGAGAAGGGTAGCTGCCTAGTTGACATTTTGGGAGTTGGGATTTGTGGGATCTTCTTTTCAATGTTCTCTTTGCTGGCAGCGGGAAAAGAAGCATTGAGCCTTGTTATGAACTGTGGTGACCCTGGGCAGGTCACAACACCCCGTGGGCCTTGGTCTCTGAGTCTGCCCAGGAAGGTTAACTGAGTCCTGGATACTTCCCATTTCACTCTAACAGAATTCTAACAGACCTTATAAGTTTTTGTGGTCTGCTGATTCTAGAACAATCCAATACCAGATTTTCCAGTTTTCCAGAGGGGAAATTCTACTCAAGCTGCTGGAGGAAATAAGTTTCTGGTTTTCTCTCTCACAGTGGGAATGTGGGACAGACTCCCAGAAGGCACCTTCCATCCCACTTTCATTTAGTCCCCAAAGAAACCCATTTTCAGATTTTCTTTGAGGAAGAAGAGGTCTTCAATTGCATTTCTGGAAATACACTGCTCCGGGGTTTCTTTTCACTCCTTGGAGAAAAGGTGGGGAAGTCACTGGGTGCGGCCAATTCACCCGAGTCCACCCCCAAAGTCCGGAAAGAGGTGGGGACAAAGGGCGGGGACCGAGGGGGACTACCGCGTCAGGGCAGGGCAGGTGGCGAGATCTTAGTCCTCCGCCGCTAGGGAGGTGCGGGACCAAGGCGGAGCCCAGGCGCCCCCTGCTGTTTCCCGCCAACCCCAGGCTTCCAACCTCTGACTCCTGGGGCGGGGATTCTCCCGAGCAAATCATCCAAATCATCTGATTTGGAGACTTTCTTTCCTAAGTGCCATCTTGTGAGTTAAGATTGGTCACTTATTTCCAGAGCCCAGGAGGGTGCTACAATTCCCGTTTGAAAGATAGAAAACTGAGGCGCGGAAAGATCATAGATTGACAAACAGCCAGCCTGGCATTGAAGCCTATTCTGGGTAGATGTTGCAGGCTTGCAGCATCATGCAAACAAAATAATAGGTCGAACGATATGAAATTACCGATCCCTGTAGATAAAAACAGCAGGACATAGACAATTTCTTAGAGTTCAACCTAATATGAATGTCAAGCAGAGGTGTCATGCTTCTTTTGTACTTAGGTTTGAGGTGCCCTTTCAGAACTGCCGTGAGGGGTTATCTATTCTTCCTCTATCTAGTCTTCCCTCCTCACCTTTGGTTAGCTTCCCAAGCTTTTTTAATCTTGCCTAATGCACTCTTTCCCCACAGGAGCTGACCTCAGACCTGAGCTTCCTGACCACAGTGCTATGCGCTTTGGGTGGCTTCTCCCTGCTTCTGGGCCTAGCTTCCCGGGAGCAGCGACTCCAGCGCTGGACTCGTCCCCTGTCAGGCCTTGTGTGGGCTGCGCTGCTGGCTCTAGGACACGGTTTCCTATTCACTGGAGGCATAGTGAGCGCCTGGGACCAGGTGAGAGGGATGGCAGGCAAGGGATGGAGGACCACCTTAGCCTGGACCTGGCCCCAGGCCTTGTGAAGCATAAGTAGGCCTTTTACTACTCCCACCCTGCTTCAGGTGTCCTTTTTCCTCTTCATTATCTTCACGGTGTATGCCATGCTGCCCTTGGGCATGAGGGATGCTGCTGCTGCAGGTCTCACCTCTTCTCTCTTGCACCTGCTGGTCGTGGGGCTGTACCTTGGGCGGCAGCAGGACTCCCATCCTTCACTGCTGCCACAGGTAAGAACACAAGTAGCCCAGGCAGTGCCCAGGGCCAGCTCTGCTGCATTTGCTGAGCTATGACTGCGGTAGGGTGCAACACTGAGTGCAAGATACAAACACAAACCCCCACAGATACAAATACAGATCCCCTTGGTGGAGCTGATACACCAGTGCAGATACCTACTGATACCAGAAGAGGGCTCCCGACCCAAAAGGAAAGACTTCATGGCTCTTAAGGGAGCCAGATATGGAGATACAGATGATGGAACCATCACAGAGAATGTAAATCAGGACTTGAGTAGTTCTGTGCAGCTACAGTGGGCAGAGGATGAGGATGGTGGGATGGTATTACATATATGCAGAAGTTTCTAGACCTAAGAGGTGATAATGGACCAACAGTCAAGAATCTACAGCAGGGAAGATGAATGGCCCTAGGGATGCTTAGGTCACTAACTATAGAGCCCAGAAGGTCTTGGAGACCAATCCCAACTACAGACTCCCCCAACCTCACCTGGGCACATGCCTGTAATCCCAACAACTTGAGAGGCTGAAACATGAAGATCGAAAGTTTAAAGCCTCCCTCTGAGGGTACTCCTCACCTACAGCTGGCAGCAAATGCAGTGTTCTTCCTGTGTGGCAATGTGGTGGGAGCATACCACAAGGCACTGATGGAGAGAGCATTGCGTGCCACATTCCGGGAGGCACTCAGTTCCCTGTATTCTCGCCAGAGGTTGGACACGGAGAAAAAGCATCAGGTCAGCTGGGCTTAGAAGGAGGGTTGGGACCAGTGCTCAGAGAGTTGTTTAGATTACACAAGTGGGTTTCTTCACAAGCTAAGTGACTCATTTGATCTTCTATGGCATTTTCTCCTTTGTATAAAATGTGGCTATTGCCTATCTTGGAAGGTTGTTGCTGAACTCAAACAAGCTGAAACTTAAGATGGTTATGAAGTGAAGAATTCTAATCAAGGTGTTAGTACTGAGAGTTCAGTCCCTAAAGGTGATTAGTCAGGATAGGGTGCTGGAGCATGGCTGGCTTTGTGCCCTGGTGGGCCCCTGGGGGGGCATCCTAGTAGAGGTGGAGCATTCTGTGGGCTTCTGGGAGACTTGGGGGCTGGGGCTCCTGGTTTTAGGGTATAGGATGGTTGGTGCTCATAATGACCTCCTCTAGGAACACCTTCTCTTATCAATCCTACCTGCCTACTTGGCCCGAGAGATGAAGGCAGAGATAATGGCACGGCTGCAGGCTGTACAGGGGTCACGACCAGAGAGCACGAACAATTTCCACAGCCTCTATGTCAAGAGGCACCAGGGAGTCAGGTATGAGGAAGGATGGCTGAAGGGGAGAGCCTGTGGGCTGAGACCCTGGCCCCACTGATGTGGTCTATCCTGTGCAGTGTACTGTATGCTGACATCGTGGGCTTCACGCGGCTGGCCAGCGAGTGCTCCCCTAAGGAACTGGTGCTCATGCTCAACGAACTCTTTGGCAAATTCGACCAGATTGCCAAGGTCAGAGAGGGCCTCCTTCCCCACTCAGAGATCCTAATGTACCCCATCCTGGGGAGCCCCTTCCAAGGATAGCTTTTGTCTTCTAAGATCCCAGTCCTACCTCAGAGCCCCAGATACTCCCATGGAATTAGGAGACTCTCTCAGACATTCCTAGTCTGAAGCTACTCACCATACACCTCAAACCTGAAGAGACTTTTCAACCTCTCTCCAGATGTCCCAACCATAATGCCCCCAAGTATGCTTAAAGCTCCAGCATAGGTATCTCTACACTTTATGTTCCAAATCCCAAATGCCAGTAATCCAAGATTCTCAGGGGGATGAGGCAGAAGGATGGCAAGTTTGAGGTCAACCTAGACAACTAAGAAAGACCCTGTGTCAAAATTTTAAAATATAGCTAGGTGCGGTGGCACACGCCTGTAATCCCAGCAACTTGAGAGGCTGAAACATGAGGATCACAAGTTTAAAGCCAGTCTCAGCAATTTAGTGAGGCCCTGAGCAACTTAGCAAGGTCTTGTCTCAGAATTTAAAAGAAAAGAAAGGGCTGGGGATGTTGCTCCGTGATTAAGCACCACCCAATTCAATCCCTGGTACCAAAAAAAAAAAAAAAAAAAATCAAGTAAACCTTAAAAAGGGCTGGGAATGTGCACCCCTAAGTACTGGATGGGGGCATGTATTTCTAAAAAAAAATTTAAAAAAATCTAGAGAGATTTTCAGGTCCTCCAAGTTGAGAGAAGTTGGAGGGGGAAGAGAAATTTCTGTTCTCTGCAACCTCAGCAGCACTTACTCAAACCCCAGGATTCAGTCTATGTTGTTGCACCCCTTCAAGCCTTTCCATACTGAGACTGCTTCCATCCAAATCTAGTTACACCCTACACACACCAAACTAGGGAGAACCAGAGACACTCCAGAATTTGGGAATTCTTTCTTTAAAAAATCCACAGGGGACACTTTAATTAGCCCCATATCAAATTAAGGGAGTCCCTAGATCTGACCTTGATACTCAGAACCTCAAAGACTCTCAGGAATACCACATTCGCTCCCCACTTTTCCCAACTCCCTCCGACCCCTCTGACCTCTAATCAGGTTCCTCTATACACTCCCCTCACCACATTACCAGGAACATGAATGCATGCGGATCAAGATCCTGGGGGACTGTTACTACTGTGTCTCTGGGCTGCCCCACTCACTGCCAGACCATGCCATCAACTGCGTGCGCATGGGACTGGACATGTGTCGGGCCATCAGGTTAGCATGGGCAGGTGGGCAGGAGGGATATGGAGGGATGGATGTGGGAGGGGACAGTCCGGGTGGTGGAGTTCTCCTTGAGAGAAAGAGGAATGTGGAATGGACAGGGCTAAAGGCAGGACTCAGACTGTACCACACACTCTGCTCAGGAAGCTGCGGGCGGCCACTGGTGTGGACATCAACATGCGTGTAGGTGTGCACTCAGGCAGTGTGCTCTGCGGAGTCATCGGGCTGCAGAAGTGGCAGTACGACGTCTGGTCCCATGACGTCACGCTGGCCAACCACATGGAAGCTGGTGGTGTACCAGGGTGAGACCTGAGGCCCCAGGCAACCACGCAAGAGATTGCCCACATGCTGCCACCCTTTTCATAGTTCCGTAAGATGAACACAACCTCATGTGGAGCTCATGGAGATCCTGGGGCATGGGGGGGGGGCACCCATTGTAACACAGGGTCTTTCTTGAAGTCGCTCTTACAGGAATGATCTTTGAAAGAAATGGAAGGTTTGGAGGCCCTCCTTGATGACTCCTACTACCCTCTCCTTCCAGACGAGTGCACATCACAGGGGCTACCCTGGCCCTGCTGGCAGGGGCTTATGCTGTGGAGGATGCAGCTGTGGAATCCCGGGACCCATACCTTAGGGAGCTAGGGGAGCCTACATACCTGGTCATTGATCCTCGGGTAAAAGACCAGGAACCCCATGGACTACACCATGCTAACCACCTACAGGCAATAGGCCTGATCTCTTCTTCTATGTCAGGGGTTGAGTTCCTGGGTACTAGTGGAGGGCAGGGACAAAAGCCTCTAAGGGGACTGGGGAGAAAAGGGGAAATGTCTGTGATCTTTATTCTCAGTCTTCCTGTGCCCCAGGCTGAGGAGGAGGATGAGAAGGGAACTGCAGGAGGCTTACTGTCCTCTCTGGAGGGCCACAAGATGCGCCCATCACTACTGATGACCCGCTATCTGGAGTCCTGGGGTGCGGCCAAGCCTTTCGCCCACCTGAGCCACGTAGACAGTCCTGTGTCCACCTCTACCCCTCTCCCGGTATGTGCACCTCCATTATAAGCCCCAGCATAACAACCCCCATTGTCCTCAAGTCCCACTCCTAGCATCCCTGACCAGTGAGTCACTTGAAGATTGTGATATCCCAAGGTCATGAACTGTCTGGTAGCCCCAGCCATTGGTCCAGCCTGTCCTTGCACTTCCTTTTGTGGAAAGAGCAAAGACCACTGCCCTCGAGCTCACCTCAGAGAAGATGCAACATGTACATTGTTCCTCAACCTCCCCTTGCCTTGACACCACAAAGGAAGTATACACTCTGCTTCCTCCTGTCTCACTCCAGTGCTGCACACCCATCACAGCAGGAGATGTCACTGCTTAATGCAATTTCTACATCTACACGCTCTCTTCTTTCAAAAAAAAAATTGTAGTTGTAGATGAACATAATATCTTTATTTTATGTATTTATTTTTATGTGGTGCTGAGGATCAAACCCAGGGCCTCACGCCTGCAAGGCAAGTGCTCTACCACTGAGCTACAACCCCCACCCCTCTTCTTTAACTCCCACTAGAAATGGGGAGATGGGGCCAAATTGGTTGTTGCCCCAATTCCCCAGAATTTGTGCATGGATAAAATGAGTGGAATTGAAAATCACACATGGCCTTGAAGCAGGAAGTCACCATGAACAGGAAGGGTAGTGGGGAAGGAGAGGTAGTCACCCACCCCTTGTCTAAGTGGAGCTAGGGTAGGGTCAATCACTGGCGGATTCCATATGTAGCACCTGGGGGTAACTAGTGATCCATATATGGGTAGAGGAGCCTACGTCTACCCTGCAGGCTGGCTCTTGAGGTTGATGCTCCATGATGAGCTGTCAAAACTCCCTCATACAGGGACCCTGGTCATGTTCCTAAAGGCATGTGCCAGGGTAAAGTCCCTGTCCTCTCAGCCTGCTGTCTCTCATCTTTCTTAGACTTCCCCATATCTGTTCAGCATTCCCATCAACTTTCCACAGATCTCCCTGGAATCTTCCCTGTTGGATAGACCTGGTTACATTTATAGGATGTCTTCAGAGTACTTTTTCTTTTTTCCATTCTTCCTCCTCTCCCATCCAGCAGGAAAGAAGGCCAAAGATCACTGAACACTGGGAAGTCAGGGAGCATTGGCAGCAGTGGTTCAGGAGAGGACTAATTCTTAGTCTTAGCATGGGGAAAGGTAAAGGTCAAAGGATTAAACTGGCAGAAGGCAGAGGAAGAAAGAATCCAAAGCCCCACTGACTGTTTCAGGATGAAATCTCCAGGGTAGGCGTGGAGTTGTGTGGGGGGTTTACCACAAGCCCAGTACTGCAAGATGACCTTGGGTGTAATTTTCCTGTGGTAGGGATGCCCACCAGAACCTACGATAGACCTCCTGTACACTCTGGTGTGCAGACTGGAATATATCAGAGTGGAGGAACAGTCACCCCTCTATCTCCTAAGGCAGGACCTTGCTAGCCCAGGAATTCCACTTCTCAGTCCCTGAAGTTCCAGGAACTCCATCAAATGTTAGAAATCCTGCCAGACACTGTGGCAAATGCCTGTAATTCCAGAAGCTAAGGAGACTGAGGCAGGAGTTTGAGGCCAGCCTGGGAACTCAATGAGACCCTGTCTCAAAATAAAAGATAAAAAGGGATGGGGATGTAGCTCAGCGGTAGAGCACTTCTGGGTTCAACCCCCAGTACTTCCCTGCCCCCTCCACACACAAAGAAGTTCTGAGTGTCACCATCAGCCTATTTTTAAACAAGGTAAAACTTTGGTTGAGTTGTATTTGTATGTACCATTCATCTTTGTATTCCCTCCAATTTGTATGTGCGGGGTGGGGGGCAGGGGCAAAGAACTGAGAGCACTGAGGATGGAGCCAGGGCCTATGCATGCTAAGCAAGCACTCTACCACTGAGCTATACCCGAAGGCCCCCTTTATATTAAATTTTTTTTAGTTGTTGTTGGACCTTTATTTCATTTATTTACTTATATGTGATGCTGAGAATCTAACCTAGTGCCTCACACATGCTAGGCAAGTACTCTACTACTGAGCCACAACCCCAGCTCACCCCTCCATATTTTTGAGCACCTATTGTGGCAGGTACTAGGCTAATTATTCTTTTTTTTTTTTTTTGGTGCTGGGGATTGAACCCGGGCCTTGTGCATACAATTCAAGCACTCTACCAACTTAGCTATATCCCCAACTCTAGGCTAATTCTTGAGAAGATTAAAATAAATGTTTTCCCTGCCATTAAATAACTTACAGATATTGGAGGATAAATAGGTAGTTTGAAAAAAAAAAAAAAGGTGCATATATCAATGCCTAGATGGGTCCATACAATATCCCCTCCCCCAACCCCTCGTCCCATATACCGTGTTTTGGTTTAGGGGAAGATGTAACCCTGTGACCTTACTTCCTTCACATTAACCAAGGAAACAGGAAGGATTGAGGAATGGTCACTATACTGCTTGACTGGACTGTGGCCCACTGTACTTCATACTCTCCTTGAGCAGTTGCTTTTCATGCTCATTTTCCTATTTCTTCATACACTGCATTCCTTTCAGTGAAGAAGAGAATATCTATAATCAGGTTGATTTCCTTTCCTCTTCTCTTTTCTTCTTCATTCCTTATTATCCACCCCCACCACTTCTCAGCTCAGCCTGGCTAATCTCACAAAAGGTCAGAGTCACAATATTCTGAATTGTCACTTCAGTTTAAATTAACAAATTTTTTTTTTCCCTCTTTTGGCATCCAATGGTGATGGGAAAGTCCCTGCCTTTGAATTTATGCAGTCTTTAGGAAAGGGAAACACAGAATCAACAGCCCATCATAAATATAAAAGACAAAGGGTTGCTGGAGTTAAAAGTTATGAAAACTATGAGGAAATAAAGAGTATAAGACCCTGGGGGTCTCTAGTCAAGAGGAAACTTTAAAGAATAAATGGTTTGAACTGTTCCTTTAGGGAAGAAGGGATTTGGTGGGGAAGAGAGAAAAATCAGTAGAAACAGATGAAAAAGCGAGATCAAATGTCCAAGGTCAAGGACATGCACAGAGCATGTGTGCGGGGGACAGGGGCACATCACAGTACAGTTTGTGATCTTCCTCACTGTGGAGGTGACACTCACTGCTCCCTCATGTTCTCCCAACAGGAGAAGGGCCTGGCTTCTTTCAGCCCCCAGTGGAGCCTGGACCGGTAAGGAGACCTGAACCTTTTTGACAATGGACTGACTGGGTGACCTATCTCCATTCTCCCTGGTAGGGGGGCTGCAGTTTTTGCTCAGATACTTTGAGAATCTCCATGGTGATAGACTTGTTTGTCACTATGCAGGAGCCGGACCCTCCGAGGACTAGATGATGAGCTGGACACTGGAGATGCCAAGTTCTTCCAGGTCATCGAACAGCTCAACTCACAGAAGTATGGAAAGCAAAGATGACTGGGTGGGCTGCAGGCCCCAAAGTCATATGGTGGAAGAGGGATGATGTTCCCCTGAGGGCCTGAAGGGAAATGAGGAATTGTCCTAGAGGGAAGACCCACCTGACCACCTCCTCCTGCTCTCTCCTTTGCCCTACCCTCCCCTGCCCTGCCTGGTCTTCTCTGGTGCTTACTGCCCTCTGCCCTACCTCCCACCAGACAGTGGAAACAGTCAAAGGACTTCAACCTGCTGACACTGTACTTCCGAGATAAGGAGATGGAGAAACAGGTAGGCATGGGAGAGGGGCACCAAAGGATTTCCCATCTTTCTTTCCTTGGTCCTTCCAGAGGGGTCAGGCCTTGTATGTCCCCTCCCCTCCCCAGGTCTGTAAGTCTTTGACCCTGGGGTGGGGATGAGGGCTTTTGCCTTTCTCATAAAGGAAAAATCATCCGGTAGATTGGATGATTATTGGGTGGGAGTAGGAGGTATGGGCACAGTTCCTTTAAGAACTGGTAGGGGCTACATGGAACTGAACTTGAGGGAGAGCTATGAGGATAGTGGTAGGCAACTATCAATGCCCACCTGCCCGTTCCCTTGCAGTACCGGCTATCTGCCCTTCCTGCTTTCAAATACTATGTAGCCTGCACCTTCCTGGTTTTCCTGTCCAACTTCATCATCCAAATGCTGGTGACAAACAGGTGAGAGCACCAGTCAAGGGAGGTCCTGGCTGTCATACACTGACTGATCGCCTTGCCCTTCCTGACCCCTGACCTACATATTGTTCCTTCACCCCTTCCCTTCAGCTTCAGGCACTTACTAAGGAAATGTGTTCTGGAGAACCAGGGACAACCACAGCCCTCATCTAAATATTATGTACCCAAGCACTTTCACCTGCTTACCTCTTTGGGTGCTGACAACATTCCCATGAGAGCAGTTGTATTCTCATTGAGAAGCCCAAATCTCATAATAAATGAATAAGTTTAGAAAGCTCACCCTCATAGGGGCTGGGGATATAGCTCAGTTGGTAGAGTGCTTGCCTTGTATGTACAAGGTCCTGGGTTCAATCAGAGCACACACATACACAAAAAAAAGGGACGCCCTTGTTCCTAGTCCATTGCTATGAGGGGTATAAGTCTTGTTCAAAACTCGCCAGAGCTGGAAGCAGTGGTACACATTTTTAATCCCAGCCATTTAGGAAGCTGAGGAAACAGAATTGCAAGTTCAAGGTCAGCCTGGGCAACTTAGTGAGAAACTGTCTCAAATAAATTTTTTTTTGTAGTTGTAGATGAACAGAATGACTTTATTTTATTTGTTTATTTTTATGTGGTGCTGAGGGTCGAACCCAGTGCCTCACACATGCTAGGCAAGTGCTCTATCACTGAGCCACAGCCCCAGTCCCTCAAAGTAAAATTTTTTTTAAAGAGCTCAGGATGGGGGCTGGGGTTGTGGCTCAGTGGTACAGCACTCACCTAGCACGTGCAAGGCCTTGGATTCTATCCTCAGCATCACATAAAAAAATAAACAAAATAAAGGTATTGTGTCCAACTACAACTAAAAAATAATTAAAAGGGGGGGGGGGGCTCAGGATGTCACTAAATGGTAAAGTACTTGCCTAGTATGTTCAAGGTCCTGGGTTTAATCCCTAGCACTCACACTGCTCATATGTGGGTGAGCATGCACACACACACACACACACACTCAGTCAGGTTAAAGAGCTTTGGCCCAGAAATTGGACTGATACAGTCTCAGCCACTCTTGTGAGCACCTCCCTTCAGTGTTGTCCCCACCCTATTGGTTCCTGTTCCACCTAAACCCTGTCCTAGACCCTTCAGCTTTCTCAAAATACCAGAACATAATGTTCTTTATCAGCCTGGACCACTTTAACTAAACTAGATCCCCAGGAGCACCTCTAACCCACCTCCCCCTGCCACCTCCCAACTGGCTGCCACAGCACCCACACAGCACAGAGAGCCTATTCTGGCACTTCAAGGCCTCCCTTGGTTTTCCCATAGGCCCCCAGCTCTGGCCATCACCTACAGCATCACCTTCCTCCTCTTCCTTCTCCTCCTCTTCATCTGCTTCTCAGAGTACCTGACGGTGAGGTGGATGGGGGTGGTAGGGGCAAGCTGAGCCATGACATGACCTGGCTTGAAGAATGTAACCCAGCCCAGTGGTTAAGACACCTGTGCTCCCTCCACAGAGGTGTGTCCAGAAAGGTCCCAAGATGCTGCATTGGCTACCTGCACTGTCTAACCTGGTAGCCACACGGCCTGGACTGCGAGTAGCCCTGGGCACTGCCACCATCCTGCTGGTCTTTACCATGGCCATCACTAGCCTGGTGAGGGCAAAGGAGGCCCTATCCACCTCCATCAGGGACTGAAAAAGGATCCCTGGCTCTGGGAGGGCAGCTGAATTTAGGCCAAAAGAAAATGTTGTAAAAATATAAAGGAAAAAAATATAGACTCCCACAACCTATCATCTGAGCATTATTGTTATTAATAACACATTGACATCTTTCCTATCTTCTTCCTATGTGGGCAGATACTTATTACTTTATTTAGTTGGCTGATTTTTACAGAACTTACAACAGTTCCTAGAACTCTATCCCTGAAATGCACCAGGAAATTATACCCCAGCCAAAGGATAATTTCCTTCCTGTGTGTCCTTTTCTGTAAAAGGAAGCTAAGGCTCAGAGAGGTTAAACAACTGGGAAGAGCTGAAAAGATGCATCCATGGCAGACTAGTACTCAAGACACCCTCCTACACTCCCTCCCCTCAGTGAGGACCCAGGCTGAGGCTTGCTCACCAACCAGAAATAACAGAATCTGCCTTTTGTGGGAGTCTGGCCCTAACTCATCCCTAGGTTGGCCAAAACTCAGCTAAAGCCACCATTGTGCCCAAGGAGCTGCCTGCCGCCTCATCTTCTCATCTCCTTCTGCAGTTCTTCTTACCAGCATCATCAGACTGCCCTTTTCGGGGCCTCAATGTATCCTCCATGGCTTTCAACCTCTCCTGGGAACTGCCCGGTTCCCTGCCTCTCATCAGTGTCCCAGTGAGTATTCTGCACAGCCCTACATCTCCCTCCCCAGAGCCTTCCTCAGTAACCCCACCTCTAGAGTTGAGGCACACTCCTTACTATGGATTGGAACTGTGTCTGTGTGGATGACTTTCCTGTCCCCCTGATAGAACCTGGGCCCTAGAAAGAATAGGACAGGAACCCTTGGGTGTCCTATGGGACACGCCCCCTCCTGATCACCTTGCCTGGCCCCACAGTACTCCATGCACTGTTGTGTGCTGGGTTTCCTCTCCTGCTCCCTCTTTCTGCACATGAGCTTTGAACTGAAGCTGCTGCTGCTCCTTCTGTGGCTGGCAGCCTCCTGCTCCCTCTTCCTGCACTCCCACGCCTGGCTGTCTGACTGCCTCATCGCTCGTCTTTATCTAGGCCCCATGGACTCCAGGTATGCATGGCCACTGGACAGAGGTTTTCAGGACCTCAGGGAAGGGGGTCAGAGAGGACACAGCAGAGCTGTCCTGGCCTCACTAACCTGAACCACTCACAGGGCAAAGGAGGAGGGGGGCTGAGGGGTTACATGGACAAGGGAAGAAGGGACAGGGAGGTGGCCATCAGGAAGGGGCAAAGCAAGGGACAGCCCTGATCTGTGGCCTCCTCAGGCCTGGAGTGCTGAAGGAACCCAAACTGATGGGAGCTATTTCCTTCTTCATCTTCTTCTTCACCCTCCTTGTCCTGGCTCGGCAGGTAAGTCCTCAGCTCAGCCCTCTAGAATCTGTGAATGGTGAATCTGGAGTCCCCATATTAGTGACTTGTTCTCTTTCATCTCCAGGGTTAAGCCCAAGGGGTGTGCTCTTTGGAAGCTTCTCAGTGAACCTTCCTGTTCCCTTTCTTGCTTTTTCACTTCCCAAGGGGAGTGCCCTCAAGTTCTCTGGTCCCTCTTTCCCCCATCCCCAAATCTGGGAAAGGCCATGCTTAAGAAAAAAATCTGCTGCCATACCCTAGTTTGAATCTAGTTTCCAGAATACTCTCTCCAAGGAGAGTTGCCCCTTTAGCCGTATCTCTAAGCTGGGGGTAGGGATGTTTCTAGGCATTGTGGAGTGGGGATATGAACACTCAGGACCTGAGGCTTCCCCTGAACTGTGGCTCTTCATGGTCCCCTGCTGACCCTCCCTAGAATGAGTATTACTGCCGCCTGGACTTCCTGTGGAAGAAAAAGCTGAGAAAGGAGCAGGAAGAGACAGAGACAATGGAGAACCTGACCCGGCTGCTCTTGGAGAATGTGCTCCCTGCACATGTGGCCCCCCAGTTCATTGGTCAGAACCGGCGCAATGAGGTAATTCCTTATCTCTGGCTCCTAAGCCCCAGATGCCATAGGGAGTATGTTTGGATGAAAGCCTGGGCCCTTGTCCCATCCTCTCTGGACTCCCCCACAGTGGGTCAGTCATTCATCAAGCCCTGTCCCTGTCAGGCAGGTGCCTCCATTTTTCACAAGATTTTGAACTCTGTCTTTGGTGAGGACAGAATTTCTGCATTTCAAGTTCTTACTTGGGAGCGTGTCTTTTCCAACTCATTACCACTCCATACGTTTCTTAAGTTTAGTCACGTGTTGATGGTAGTTGTATGGAGGATGTAATTCATTCATCTCTCTAGACTTAGTTTCTAATATGGTAGCCATTAGCTGTATATGGCCCTTCTAATTTAAATTTAAATTAATTAAAATTAAAAATTCAGTTCCTCAGTTACATTAGCTACATGTCAGGTACTCTATAGCCACATACAATTAGTGCCTATCATATTGGACAGCACATGATGGCAGAAATTTCTATTGGATGCTGCTGCTCTAGATACTCAGAAATCTTGCTACCATCAGACCATTGGAAAGTTATTGAATTTTGCACTATCTTTTTTGTGCCACTATCACCTGACCCTCTTTACTGTGGAAATGTTCTTGTTGTATACTGGAGGAAGTTAAAAGAAACACTTCAAGAGCTATTTCACAGACTTATGTCCCTACCACCTACTCTCTGATCTCAAAATCAGAAGTAGTTCTACTTCTGGTTTCTTCTATTGTGGACACAGGAAATTTTGTAACAGGTTCTGTTTCTTTCTTCACATTGGCTGTTAGAAAACTCAGAACTGGAATCTAGGATTAACAAGGACTTCATGGCACCCATTTTGTGAACTAATCTCAGACCTGGTTCCATCTTTATCATTTTACTCTAATTTTCCCTTTATCTCATACTCACTATTGATGCTTTATTTTGTGTTCCAAACCTTGGCTATTTTTTGTAAGCTGATTTATCTGACTTAACATCTTTTAGCAATAATTTAGCAATAATTCCCACTGACATGATCCCGAGTCTAAGAGTGAGTCCCTTCATATATATAGCTATGAAGTTATCCTGACCCCAAATCTCTTGTCTTTCCTGGAATCACAACACCACCAAATCTTTGATTCCTGAGTCATATCCCTAGGGTAACCTGGCCCTACTCCTTTCCCTCCTTCTCAGCGCTTCTTAAATAGAGGGACAAGGAGTGTGGCTTCAGTAAGGAGGACCCCGTACAGACCCAGAAAGGGAAAGCACATGACATACACCCCTCCCTCACCTCAGCCTCCTGCCCCCTCCAGGACCTCTACCACCAGTCCTATGAGTGTGTTTGTGTGCTCTTCGCCTCAGTCCCGGACTTCAAGGAGTTTTACTCGGAATCCAACATCAACCACGAGGGGCTAGAGTGTCTGCGGCTACTCAATGAAATAATTGCTGATTTTGATGAGGTGACAACTCCAAAGGCCCCCCAGGTCCTGTGTCCTGGATTCTGGAATTTCCACTAGTACCTCCTTCTACTTTACTTTCTGGCCATGAGGCCAATTCTATCCACCACTCACAGCACCCCCTCTCTTCCTCTGATGCCACATATCTACTCCCTCCAGCAAATTGCTGACTATCAACTCTCTTCTTCCTACCACCATCCCCTACTCTACAACCTGGTCTTTAGCCTCCAAAGGCCTGAGGCTGAGCTTCTGGGAGAGGGGAGGGTGAAAGCAAGAGAGACTAGAGACAAGGCCTCCTCTCTGTACAGCTGCTCTCCAAGCCCAAGTTCAGTGGGGTGGAGAAGATCAAAACCATTGGCAGCACCTACATGGCAGCCACAGGCTTAAATGCCACCTCTGGACAAGAGGCCCAACAGGTATAACAACCCTTCCTTACCTATCAACCTTCCTTTGGGCTCTCACTGGTGGTCCCATGAGTGGGACTTATTCCTGTGCCCTCATTGGCCCATCCTGATGGGCGGGCCCATTGCCAGGATGCTGAGCGAAGCTGCAGCCACCTTGGCACCATGGTGGAATTTGCAGTGGCCCTGGGGTCCAAGCTGGACGTCATCAACAAGCATTCATTCAACAACTTCCGCCTGCGTGTGGGTGAGAGCCCCCCCCCCCCTTGTTGGGGCAGTGTGGTATCTCCTCACCTTCCCAAGCTCTCCCCACTCCAAGTGCTTTGTTCACTGCTCTGCACCCCATCCCTGGACCCCCTTGCCAGACTCACTCCTATGAATGAAGCATAAAGCTGCTGGGCCAGGAGCTAAAAGGCATGCTCCCCTCCTTTCCCTCAGACCCAATCCTCCAGCCCCAGAGACCCCTCCTCTCCTTTAAGTCCCCCCAGGTCCTTCCTCTTTCCCAGTTCCTTTAGCTTCCTCTTCCCTTTTCCCTCTTCAAAGTTCCCCCCATCAAGCTGGGCACAGTGGTGCATGCCTGTAATCCCAGTGACTCGGGAGGCTGAGGCAGGAGGATCGCAAATTCAAAGCCAGCCTCAGCAATGGCAAGGCACTAAGCAACTCAGTGAGACCCTGTCTCTAAATAAAATACAAAAAAGGGCGGGGGATGTGGCCCAGTGGTCAAGTGCCCCTAAGTTCAATCCCCAGTACCAAAAAAACAGTTCCCCCCATCAGGGTTCCTCTTTACCATTTTCCTTCTCAGGACTGAACCATGGACCAGTAGTAGCAGGAGTGATTGGGGCTCAGAAGCCACAATATGACATCTGGGGCAACACAGTGAATGTGGCCAGCCGCATGGAGACTACAGGAGTCCTTGGCAAAATCCAAGTAAGTAAACCACATTGGAGGCATGTGGGGAGGAGGATAAGGATAGGCATGCCCCATACTCCCTCACACCCCCCCCCTCCAATTGCAGGTGACTGAGGAGACAGCCCGGGCTCTGCAATCCCTGGGCTATACATGCTACAGCAGGGGTGTTATCAAGGTCAAAGGCAAAGGGCAGCTCTGCACCTACTTCCTAAACACAGACTTGACACGATCTGGACCCCCTTCAGCCACCTGGGCTGAGACCTCTCATCCCTTCTAAGATCCTCAATAAAAAGATTCTGGAGGGCTGGGGTTGTGGCTCAATGGTAGAGTACTTGTCTAGCATGTGTGAGGCACTGGGTACAATTCTCAGTACCACATAAAAAATAAAATAAAATAAAAGTCCATTGACAACTAAAAAAGATATTAAAAAAAAAAAAGACTCTAGGATGTCTAATGCCAATTGATGTCAGAAGTTGTGGATGTAGCTGAGAATCACCCCTCAGTTTCTTTTTAGGTTAAACTGAGTACGTGTACGTGTGTGCACATGTACCTAAGCAAGTGGGAAGGGAGTGATTGTTTTCACTAGCTCAGGAGAGGACTCTCTTGGCCGGCCTGCCTACATACTAACCTGATTCCAATATTTTGTATACCTTGGAAACTTAAAGAATTTTAGGCACATAATTCAAAACAAAGATATGTCCTTTCCTGCCCCTACTCACAAACACTGGAAAGAATTTCCAGGAAAATGACATTGAACTTTTATTCATTCAACATAAATGCAGAATGGGCAAGAGGCCTACAAAATAATCTATTAGGTTCCTTCCAGTCTCAGCTGCTATTTTCAAATTGTCCCACCATGCTTTCTTGTAAAGACCTATAGATAATTTAGGGGTTCTCCTGTACTCAGGGCCATTGGATGCCTGCCTTGCTTGCTTCTGCATCTTTCTATGCAAATGCTGATATAAAACATGTGATTTAGATCAATGCTTCATTCTCGCCTGCTCATATTTTGAAATCCACAGGAGATATCTTAATACTCTGCATTTGTTACAGATGTTGCGCATGGACTTTCGGTTTTGCTATTCTCTCTCTCTCTCTCTCTCTCTCTCTCTCTCTCTCTCTCGGACTCACATTGGTTCTTTGTTTGTTTGTTTGCTTGTTTTGTCTTGTTTTTTATGGGGAGGATCCACAGAACACAGCACTGCCGCTGCTGCTGTCATCATCCTAAAATGTCATCAGAACAAAGCTGGGCCAAAGGTGCTCCAAGACAACAGTCACCCCTTTGAAGTACTAGCTTAGGGGAGTCTTTGTTTCCTGTGGGTGACCATAGCCACAGAGGGCCCTCAGGCTCACTCTGTACCAGGGTATATTGTGGGGCTGGTAGATGCTGATGTGCAGAATTCTAGGGGACAAGATGTAATGACTTTCATCTCAAATGAGAACTCCTTGGGAAATGGAGGAAAGGAAGGTAATGCCCTAGACCATCTGCTGAGAGGATAAAGATTCCTAGCAGGAAGCTGGACACTTAACAAGGACACTTACCAGGGTGTCAGGGAAGATGTTTCACAGCAGCCCATTATCTCAGAAGGTTCCCTGAGTCATAAGCCTGCAATGAGAAGCCTACATGGGTGGTCTTTTTTGACAGTCTCCTTCAGTAGTCTGTGAACGCTGTTCAAAGTGGGATCTGCAGATCACCTACCTCAGAATCTCCTTTTGTTCTCTTTCCAAAACTGGAAATCACGGGGAACTAAAGAATGTGACTCTCAACAATTGAGAGGAATCTCACCATGATGCCTGTGAGCACTCCTACACCCCATAACACACGTGCCCCCACTCACAGGGTTGACGCGATTTCAGACTTGAGTTTTAATTGTAAAGCTTCCTGCAGGAATCTGGCCAGAGAATGCTCTCTCATTCTGCCCTGACTTGCCCCACCCCACCCTCTTCTTTCCGCCCCACCCGGTCTCCCGCGCAGATTCTTCTCCCCGGGTACAGAACTGGGTCAGGCAAGCGTGGGATTCTCCGAGGAGGAAAGCGAGCTTCCTTCCACCAGATCTCATATAGTTAGCTTCATTGGAGAGGCTCAGAGGAGGCCGTGATGCTCTCGGCGGGTGCAGGCTCCGGAGAGGGAATGGCTCCCTTTACGGTCTGGACCAGGGTGCCGCCGCGGCGTGTGCTGGACACCTCAGAGCCGGTGCCCTCCAGCAACTTGGCAACGAAGCCCAAGCCGGCCGAGCGCAGCAGGCCGCCGCCTGCGCACGCGTACAGCACCGGGTTCACGCTGCTGCTCAGGAAGGCCAGTGCGATGAGCACGTGGCGGGCCAGCTGCAGCCGCTCCCCGGTGGGACCGGACCCAGGGCGCAGACCCGCTAATGCGCGGAACGCCTCGGCCAGGTTCACCAAGTGGTAGGGCAGCCAGAAAGCGGCGAAGGCCAGGATGATGAGTGCCACCAAGCGGCCCGTGCGGCGGCTGCGACGGAAGCGCCGCGCCCGCAGCCTGCGCCCGATGTCGGAGTAGCTGGCCACCACGGCCAGGAAGGGCAGCAGGAAGCCGGTGAAGGCCTCGAAGAGTAGATGAAATGCCCTGTGCCTTTCGTTGGGGTACTTCGGGAAGCACACCAGGCTCCTGTTGTTCAATCCCAAACTCACCGTGCGGTATGCAAGAACTGGCGTGGCCAGCAAAAAGGACACCACCCAGATAGCTGCCAACAACGGCCGGACAATCTCTTTGGTGCGCAGCTTCTGGGACATAAAGGGACGGGCCACTGCCAGTGACCGGTCCAGACTCATGACTGTAATAAACAACACACTAGCATACATGCTGACTCCACAGATATAGTGGCACAGGCGGCAGCCGGCCAATTTGAAACTCCAGGTGCCATGAGCCAGGAAGTGCAGGAAAAAGGGAGCAGTGAGCAATACGGCCAAGTCGGCCAAGGCCAGGTTCAACACCAGCAAGGCAGTGACAGAGCGTTTGTGTATCCTTTTCAAGATGCTCCACACCACAAAGCTATTGCCAGGAAGCCCCACAGCCAGTGCAATTGACAGTAAGATGATAGCCAACAGAGATATGAACATGACATTTCGTGAGGAGGATGCAGCAGGAGATGTAGTGTTCGTGGCCATCACAATGACCTGGAAGTGAGGGTGGACACTCATAAGGGTAGGAAGCCAAAGGTTTCCTGACTCCCTGACACACTTAGCCTGAAAATGCTGATCTGTCTCCAAGATCAGCATCATCAGAGGCACTAAAACTGCCCCATCACCACCAACTGACCTGACTTAAGGGGATCCGGTTGAGTAGAAAAACTAGTTTCCTAACTGGGCCACGGGGCCCCTTCCTGTTCACAGACCTAATTACAAAATAAACAGCCATCCCCAGTAACAACATTTTCATATCTTTTCAGACTCCTTTCCTGAAGCCCAGAATCAAACTGGGAGATTTTCCTCACCAGTGCTGTACCTTTTGAAAGCACCCTTGTCCCCTGCCTGAACCTTAGCCCTTCAGTCCCTTTGACTTCTTCCAATCACCTTCCCACTCTGACCCCAGAGACTTCCAGGGGTTCACCAGAAATAACAGGGATGGGGATGGAGTTAGTGGGTAGGCTTTGAGGTCAAATCCTCCCAACTCCGTTTACACTTGTTGGGCTTTCTTTAGAGATTCCTTTGGACGTTCTCTCATGGCTGTACCTGGTCCCCCACACCACCTTCCCAGTTTCTAGGATACTTACTTATAAGCTTTGCCAAACAGCTGAAAGCTGATGCCAATCCCAGAGCCAGGGCAAGGTGGTATAGCTTAATCTGGATCTGTCCCAGTGTCGGAGGCGTGGGCCTTGGTATGAGTGCTTTCAGCTAAGTCAACCAGAGAGGAAGTACCACAGAACAAAGGAGGGGGAAGACACATCTTCCTGAGGGTGGGGCTGAAACCCCCACCCCCTCCCTTAACTGGGAGGAAGGGGGATAGTCTTTGTGCTCCAGGGCAGCCCAGCTAGAAGGAGGACTCCTGAGGGGTGGGATGCAATGAAAAAGAACCCAGGAAAGGGCATTAGAAGAGGAATTAGGGGTGCCAGTATGAGTTGGCTGGGGTGTGGTCTAAAGATGCAGGTCTAGACTGGAAAATTGAGCAAAGTTATGAATTATAGGAGGAGGGAAGAAGGCAGGAGAGGGGAAACAGGCTCAGACTGAAAGGCTAAAATGCCAATATCCAAATTTTTTCCTTAAATTTTGCATATATTTCACAGGTACAATGTAGATCTTTAGATAAATGGGATGTATAGGTTGAAAATGTAAGAGATTTTGGGTCTGGATGTGAGTTAGGTAACATTGTGATTTAAAGAGAGCATGTTGGTAAACCAAAGAGGGCAGCATCCTGTTCTTGGCTTCAGTTGGAGCCATGATCCTGCTTGTGGGAAAAGAGCCCTCTCCCAGCGCCTGCCATCCCTCCCTTCATTTAAGGGGAATTGGTTCCATTCTATGTTCCATTCTATGTTAACCAGTTCTCCATTTTCTGCTGTAGAAACCAGTCTAAGTGGTCTTGGTACCATACAGAATGCAAATTTCTTCCCCTTCCCCCAACCACTTGCCTTGTGCTTGCCCATGTGGCTACCCTGCCAAGTTTAGATTTTTAAGAATAAGGGGCTGGGCAAGGAGACCAACATCACTTCTTTCCTGTATTGCCACAGACTTAGGTGGTCCAGTTCCACTTGTGAAAAGTAAAGGCTGAAGCCCTGGACTGAACATGAGAAGCAGAAGCAAGGGCACAGTGACAAGAAATGCCTCACACCAGCCCTACCAAGAGAGAAATCCAGGAATATGAAAAGAGAAGGAGCCCCTTCTTTTTCCTGAATGGAAGGATGCCTTTTCTCCTTGAAATCTCCTGTAGAACATTAAAATTAAGAATACCTTTCTGCTTCTGTTTCAACCCTGTCACTTCTCAAGAAAGTTGCAAGGTCCCTGATACCTCACAGTGCTCCTACTTGCTCTGCTTTGAGAAAAGCCAGAGCAGAGTCGACCCAATAACTGTCAGGCAAAGGATATGATGAAAAGAAATGGGCTGAAACCACAGCAAGAACTGAAGGCAGGGCTGGGGCTGGGGCTGAGTGGTAGAGCGCTTGCCTACCATGTGTGAGGCACTGGGTTCAATCCTCAGAATCGCATAAATAAATGAAATAAAGGTATTGTGTTCATTTACAACTAAAACAATTTTTAAAAAAACTAAAAGCAGAGTTGAGGAAGGGCTCTCTGACCAAGGTGGGTGAGAGAGATGGGGAACATGTAACAGGAAGTTAGGGAACCTCTTTCTGCCCTAGAACACCAGGACCAGAAGAAGCCTGTGTTTGGAAAAAGAAGCTCTTGGCTCAGAGCTCCAGGGTCAACAAGAAGCCCTTCAGACAGAAACTGGGCTGTCTTTGCCTCCCTTCTCAAGCTACTCCCCACCCCCATCTTCCTTGAAGGTCTTTCTTCTCCCACCAAGAACTAGGCACTCTGAGCACAATCCCTGTCACCCTAGTTCATTCCAACCTTAGTTTTGGTGACCCTGGCATGACCCTGGGGACTGGATTTCTTTTGCTCTCTTGACATCTGCCTGGAAGATGTGAAGATTTACTAAAGCAGGGCCTGGCTTAATGGCCAGAGTAACCACTCATGTGACCAACCATTTCAGTTTGTTAGGGGGATAACAGGACTGGGATAAGGGATTTACAGTGCTAACCTGAGAAAGTTCTGGACCACCTGGGATGAATTGGTCACCTGTGTGCTTGTGGATGGTCCCTGAAAACAAATCCAATGCTACACCCCCAAATTAAAAGTGTGAAGATCCAAAACAGTTTTTAGATCCAGAAATAGAAAGATTCCAAAAGATAGGGCTAAGAAATATTGAAAGAGGGATTAGGAATAGCTAGCAGTCTTGGGAGAAGATAAAACTTAACAGAGAGAGGAGTGAGGAGGGGAAGGAGAAGACAGGAAAGGAGAGGAGAGGAGAGGAGAGGAGAGGGGAGGGGAGGGGAGGGAAATCCTCCCTCCCTGAAAAATTCTTCCTGTTTTCCAATATTCCTGTCATTCCCCATAATCCCTTAACTTCCAAACAACCCCTGGTGAAGCAAGAACAGGCTCCTGAGCTCTTTTTCAAGTTAAGTTGCTTTGGGGGTGGTGTTAGATGGTCAGAGAGGGACGTAAATCTCAGATTTCCAGGCCCCTACACCACTGCCCACCCATGTGCCTCTTTGTACCTACAAGACAGGAACACATTCCTTTCAAACCCCACAGATTTACTTTCTCCTTGAAGATACAGTTTCTTCCCCCAGGCAGCTTTGTTAGGAGTCCAAAGAATGGATCTCATCCTCATCTCCCATCCAAACTCCCACACCTTCTCTTGCTCTTTCTCCATTTGCCAGGTAGTTCTATGGGTAGGCCTAGGGGAACCAGGCCACCTGGGCTGAGGAGAGCAGCACAAGATACCACTGAAGGCTGATACTTCCAGCCCTGGCAAGGTTGATCTACCTGGGAATTATGTGGCTTTAGTACAACTCACACAGGATTAACCACCAAAGGGGAAACTCACTTAAGTCATCATCTAATGACTTCCCAATGTATTTCACAATAAAGTCACTGGCAACAAGTAAGCAATGCTGGCACATGGGTATATGCCAACTTGCAAGCACACAGCATTTTTTAATAAGGGACATCACTATCCTCAAAGTCCCTCCGTTTTGAGGAATCTGGACCTGCCCCAGGTATGTAATAATCCTACCCAGCCAGATCCAAATTAGTTGGAAAAGGGTCCCCAAATGCCTCAGAGGAGTGAGTTTCAGGGAAGATGAAAAGTGGTAGGGGAAAAGCAGACATGGTTGTAGGGTTTGGTGTCAAGGATCCCATTCCTGACTGCCCCTCTTCACCCCACCCCCTGGGTCTCCATTGCCCTTTCCCGGCCCCACTACTTGTAGCCGGGGAGTAGTTCGTAGCTCCATGGTACCCTCCCTAGAGCGGCTTCCCCCTCGGGCTTCTCCAGAGCCCTCGAAGAGCCGTGTGAGGAACCGGGGACCCGCCCGAGGCAGCAGATCCCCAGCGGTGAAGACGTAGAGCACTGGGTTGACGCTAGAGCTGAAGAAGGCCAAGGCTGTCGTTCCAGCCCGCGCTGCCTGGCCTGCGCCGCCGAGCCTCGCCAAGGCACCTTCTGGTGGAGCGAGTGCTGCCACCACTTGCAGTAGGTTGACTGCGTGGTAGGGAGCCCAGAGCAAGCCGAAGGCGAGCACGATGGCGCTCACCAGCCGGCCCACCCTCGACCCCTGCTTCCCAGACCCCCAGCGGGCGCCCCTCAACCGCGCCAGCGTCACGCTGTAACAGCCAAGCACTAGCCCAAAAGGAAGCACAAAGGCGGTCAGAGTCTCCAGGCTCAGGTGGGCGGCGGCGTGGGCGGGCGACGGGTGGCACAGCTGGCAAACGCGGTCCCCCCAGAGATGGCGGTAGACAGCGGCCGGGACAGCAAGCAACAAGGCGGCCAGCCAGACTGCCAGCAGTAGGCGACGGGCCAGAGCCGGGCTGCGCAACCGGGGCGCCAGGAAGGGGCGGGTGACGGCGAGGCAACGCTGCAGGCTGAGCAGGCCGGTGAGCAGCACACTGGCGTACATGCTGAGGGCGCACACGTAGTACACAGCCTTGCAGCCCGCCTGGCCCAGCGGCCAGGCTTGCCCGGTCAGGAAGGCTACGAAGAGCGGTGTGAGTAGCAGGACCGAGCCATCGGCCAGCGCCAGGTGCAGTACTAGCGTGGCCGCCAGTGGTCGCCCACGTGCGGGCCGCCAGCCAGCCAGACTCCACACTACGAAGCCATTACCGGGCAGCCCCAGCAGCGCCGCCAGCAATAGAAAGGCCGTTCCAGTGGTCCGTGAGGCCTTCCAGCTCAGCAGTGTCTCATTCCCAGGGGGCCGGTAGCAGACTGACATCCTTCTTCTGCGGGGCTGGAAGAGGCCACAGAGGGCATTCAGAAGTGGGGCATAAGTCCACATTGCCTCCGATGCTAGGTGAGAAGGAACTGTGCTTCCCTCCACTTCCCTGCAGCCTGTCCTTCTTCTCTCTGGGAATCTTGACATGGAGGATCCTGACCCCCAATTCAAATACCACTCCTTCTTAGAACCTAGATCCTCTGCTTCAGGTCGGGTGGCCTTCACTCCTGGCACCTCCCAGAACCCAGAAGTCCTAACTTTAGACTGTCCTAAATTTACTCAGGCCCCCATTCCTAACTTTAGGCTGTCCTAAATTTAGGCTGTCACTACTACCATCTCCGCCCCTTAAAAGTGGGCAGTGTGGAGAAAAAGGGCATGGGCAGATCTACTTACCCAGCTAGGAGCAGGTAGGGCTGGGGGCCTTCAGAGGCCTGGGGAAACTGAAAGGTGAGGCAGCAACGCATCAGGTGCCAATGTCTATCACATTTGCAGAGGGTGAGGCAAGAATGGGGAGGGACAAGATGAGGCTCATCCTGGCCTTTTCCTGGGGCCCCTCCCTCACCCCATTCTTTCCCATCACTAACAGGTCCAGACGTGTGGGAGCCTGCCTCCCTAGGAAGCAGGATGAAGCTGAGGGTGCAGAAACACTCAGTTGGTACTTGACCCTGAACCCTGCTTTTTTTTTTTAATACATGGACACAATATCTTTATTTTGTTTACTTATTTTATGTGATTCTGAGTGTAAGGTCAGGCACCAGTGAAGAAAAGGAGGCAGACTAAAAACTGCTGAACAAGGCTTTATTGAGATTCGCTCTGGGCAAGACCCTCCAGTACAACAGAGTGGTCCGGTGGAGTTGCACCCAGGCTCAGCTGGATTGTAATTTTATCAGGCTTGGGGCAAGAAGGGAGAGCTTGGGACTGGAAAGGGCTTGTTCTCCTGGGGTTGGTCTGGAGATCTTGCTGAATTCCATGTCCTTCCAGGATCAGTCAGGAGACCCCACTGATTGACAGGTGATTATCACTACTTGTCTGTTGGCACCTGATTTGTTGTTGGCTGTTTGTTCCCTTAGCCACTTCAACTGACCTAACACTGAGGATCAAACCCAGTGCTTCACATATGCGAGGCAAGTGCTCTGTCACTGAGCCACAACTCCAGCCCCTGCTTTTGTTCTTGTCCCTTCTTCATTTCTGCCCACCCCCCCCCACCCCCCCCGATCCTTCCAGCATGACTTCTGCAGTGCTTATGCTTCCTGGCCTCCTTGGCATGTATTCAGCAGAGGTGACCCACACAACTCAGTTTCTCAGCTGCTCTCACTTGGCCTGTTTTCAGCCTCCCAACCCTGCTGAGTTCCCTTTTTCCTCAGCTCCCAGTCCACCCCCAACCATCTCTTGTTTTGGGAGTTTCGCTCCACCCTCTGGATTTTGGCTGGGTTGTCAATGACAACTTTTCAGTGTAAGGAATGGTGCTAGGTCTGTTGAGGAGGAGACAGAAATGCATGGAGGTTTAAGGGGTGTTGTGGTTTGGATCTGGAATGTCCCCAAAAGCTCATGGAGGTATGGCCCCCATTACAGAAAGATTTAGAGATGGAACTTTTAAGCAATGACTAGGGTTCTGACCTTATATAAATCTATTTGCTGGATTAATCCACTGATAGCTGAATGGACTACTGGGAGGCTGGACATTGATGGAGGAAGTAGATCACTTGGGCATGGCCTTGGACTATCACTGTCCCTGGCCTCCTCTCCCCTCTTCCTCTTCTCTCTCTCCCCCTCCCCTCCCCTCCCTCCCTCTCTCTCTCCCTCTCTCTCTCTCTCTCTCTCCCCTCCTTTCTGGCTGGTTGGTTCTCACAGGCTGCATAGCTTTTTTCCATCAGGCCCTTCCACCATGATGTTCTGTCTTACTTCAGGTCCAGAGCAATGGAGGCAGCTAACAATGGACTGAGACCTCTGAAACTGTGAGCCAAAATAAACTTTTCTTTCTCTAAGTTGTTCCTGTCAGGTACTTTGGTCACAGTGATGAAAAGCTGACTAACATAAGGGGCTTGCTTATAACCTCACAACCACAAGATCACACTACGAATCTTTACAAGGATATAAGAAAGGAAAGGGTGCAGTTTGTGTAGAGACATACTGAAAAGAAGTTCTCTCTGCTGGGAGAGGTCAGGCAAAGATTGGAAATTAAGAGATTGGCAGGGAGTGGGGGAGCAACAGGGCCCAGCAGATCAATAGAGTGGAGGGAGGGGGAAAAGAAAGTCCTCTGCCCAGTCAACAGCCCAAACTGGAGTTCTCTGGGAACAAGGACACCAAAAGCATTGTCTTAGTTTGAGTTCCTCAACAGCAGAGCCTGAGATAAGGGCGTGGGTATAGGTAATCCTGTATTTGAAAGGTTGATTCAGGAAGCAGAGGGGAGGAAGCAGGATAAAACATAGAGAAGCTGGGTGTGATGGTGCACACCTGTGATCCCAGTGACTCAGGAGACCAAGGCAGGAGGTTTTCAAGTTTGAGGCCAGCCTCATCAACTTGTTGAAGCTAAGTTGAAACCCTGCCTCAAAATAAAAAATAAAAAGGGTTGGGGATGTGGATCAGTGATTAAGCACCCCTGGGTTCAATCCTCAGTACCCCCCCCCCCCACCAAAATAGGTACAAAAGAAGAAACCCTTAAGAGCATGGCATGGCATTACATTCCTTTGGTAGGCACTGGGCCTACCTCTGGGAAACGTACAGAATGCCCAGAACAGGAGACCAAGGTGTGTCCACTGTTGGAAGACTGTCCTGAAGCATTAATGCCACTATAAGTGCCCCTGTGCTTGTAAGGGTTTGAGTAAGCTAACAACTTCTGACAAGGATTCTTCCATCTGGGCTAAAGTCACCCCAAAAGTGGCAAGAGAGTTCCCACAAGGTATCCCAATCATCCCAACATGGGGCTAGTTGGGAATCCAAAGAAACACTCAACTCCAGGTGACTGGTCCCAAGTATTTACAGAGCAGGCTGCAGTATATCTTTATGAAAGGGAGAGTAAAAGATGTTCCACTTATCCCCACAGTAAGGGCATCAGGGTACAGAATTCATGAGAGGGTTTAAGGAATTTGGTTCAGGGCTGAGGCTAGTTTCTTTCAGGCAACAATCTAAACACCTTTATCAGTATCTTGCCAAAGCCTTGAGCCTGCCTAAGAAATGCAACTGGCTGGGTCCCTGAGTAGTGAAGGAACTCCATGTTTCTCAGGGGAAAAAAAAAAAAAGTTGGAGGATCTGGGGTACCCTATAAGGTTCCTTCCAAGGCAGGAGAGGAGGAATTGTGGTCATTTGAGGTGTTAACTCCAGTTTCAGTCTAAGCTTCCATACAATGTTCATCACACTGCAACTGAAATCAGAGATGGATAAAGCTGAAGTCCTGATACCATCAAAGGACACCTCCTGCCCCATTCACATCTCCTTCATGCCCATTACTTGGTGAAAGGAAAAAGGTGGGAACAAAGGTCACTACTGAAGCAACAGTTCTGGAGAATGAGCCAAGGATACGTTGGCAAGCCCCTCTCCTACCCAGGAAAGAGCAGGTCAACAGAAAGGAGAGGGTCCCAGACAAGATCTGGTGATCCTGGATCCGCGGATCAGGATCCATCCTTTCCTCAAACCACTTCCAAACACTTGCCTCACCTCTCATTTTATCCAAGCCTTGCCCAAGTCTGTTTCCCACCCCATTTCCCCACCCTAAACCCATTTCCTCACCTTCTGCCCAATCTTTCCAGGAAGCTACAGCCCATGGCTTTTCCTGTAGGTGGCAGCACAGAATAGTGCACCTCACATACAATACAGCTTCTCAGCAGCTGGGAGCCAGGAACTATTCCTAGAAATTCCCTCCAAAGAAATAAAACACCAGAGGTCACATTCCATCCTTTTTACCCTCACAAGGGCCCTCAGCACACACAGATGTGCACATGCACACGCATGGGCACCTGCGCACACGCGCATGTCTCAGAGCCTTTTGCTGGCAGTCCAACTTCTACCACCTTATCTAGGTCCCTCCTCCTTCTCTCCCCTTGGACTTTGTCCTTCGTACTGGCCAGGGAGGGGGGCCAGAGCTGGGCTTGACTCATTCCCCACCTCTTCAGGACTGAGAATCCAGCTTTGTAAGAGAAGACGTCACTTCAGCCCCAGCACCACAGTGCAGCGTCCAATCCAGAGGCCCCAGGAAGGCAACTCTCCTACTTCCCTCTACCATGGAGTACTTCTCATCCCTGAACCCCAATGGCCTGCTCAGGTGATTACTAACTCTCCTCTCTAACCTCTAACTCTGGGGATATGGTTAGGTGGGGAACAAAACTCCATTCAGCCCCTAAGAGACTCACTTCCCCTCCTCCCCCTACTTTACACATTTGTCCAGTTCCTGAACTACTGGACCCATTCCAATGCCTCTCCCTTAGCTGATCTGCAAACCTAGGACCCTCCCTCTTTGGCTCTTCAGTCATCCCACCCCTCTTCCCTCTTCTTCCCAACTTTACAACCAGGGCTGTATCCAATATGAGCTCTGAGCTTGGCCGAAGAGTATGGACTTCAGCCCCACCGCCTCAGAGACCCTTCCGTGTCTGTGATCATAAGCGGACAATTAGGAAAGGTCTGACAGCTGCCACCCGCCAGGAACTGCTAGATAAGGTGAGTGAGCCAGGTTCCTAGGTTCCTATAACAGGGGCAGCCAAGGGACTCAATAGTGACAACTTGAGATGATAGAGTAGAAAGGGCTAAGGTCACATAGCTGTTCCTCCAAGGGCTAAAAGTCAATGGGGGCGGAGGTGTGACCCAAATAACTTCGGTTGAATTTGGGTAAATTTGTTTATTTTCCAAGTTGTGGGCTTTTCTCTGGGAATAAGGGAAACAGTATATAGGGAGGGCTGGAGGATGGAATTCAGAAGTCAGTATGAAATGGTGATATGTATGAAAAACCAAATTCAAATTCTGATTTTACCCCTTCCTTGCTGTCCAAATCTTGGGAGGTGGGCTGTGGATGTGGCTCAAGCGGTAATGTGCTCGCCTGGCATGCGCAGGGCGCTGGGTTCGATCCTCAGCACCACATAAAAATAAAATAAAAATGTTGTGTCCACCAAAAACTAAAAAATATTTAAAAATTCTCTCTTTAAAAAAAAAAATCTTGGGAGGTTATGTGACCTATCAAATCAAAACCTGTTTCTTCATCTGTACAAAGGAAACAATAATAAACCACTTCCTAGGGTTGTTGAAAAGAATAAAAGAAAAGAAGTATGTAATGTCTTCATAGATATGTGGCACAGGTTATCTATAACATCTGCTCCTCCTGCTTCTTGCCATCATTATTACTGAAAAATGATGTGGAAAACACTGAGGTTGGGGGAAGAGGGAGGTGAGACCTTGTAGACAAGACAGAAAGATGGATTTCAAGATAATCTAGCTAGATTTTTTTTGAGCTGAGGTGAGGTCTTGTTCTGTGCCAAGGCTGATATCAGACTCCTGGGCTCAAGCAATTCTACCTCAGTCTCACAAGTAGCTGGGATAAGCATGAGCTACTGCCCAGCCCCTGGCCAAAGTTTTTATTCTAAACCAGTAGGAATGACTTAGAGGGAGGGAAGCAGGAAGTGGTGACAATGACAGAGCAAAAAGGAAAAAAGGGGGCTAAGGGTTCAGTCTAGAAGCACAGCACTTGCCTAACATATGGAGACCCTGGACCCTCAGCAACACAAAAATTTTTTAAAAAGGAAAAAGGTCAGCCCCTAATGAGGGTCCCCTAACAACTGAAGTATATCGAGAGCTGCTGCCATTATCAGGGATAGCAAGCACCAGAGAGTAGACTTGGATATTGACCATTGCCTAGGGACAACAGATCGATATTGGGCAACTAGAGGGGAGGGGCATAGTATAACACCTGCTCCTCCTGCTTCTTGCCACTGAATAGGCACTAAAGACCCTGCTGCTGCATGGAGCATTAACACTGGTACTAGAAGAGGATGGGACGTCTGTGGAGAGTGAGGACTTCTTCCAGATGCTGGAGGATGACACATGCCTGATGGTGCTGGAGTTGGGACAGAGCTGGAGCCCCACCAGGGTAAGAGGACCATACTTGCACTGTTCAGGCCAACAATCCTTTGTAGTTTTCCAAAGCTCCTTCTTTAGCCTAACCCTGATATTAGGGACAAAGGCACAGAGTGAGATGTGGAGTTACCTAGGACATAGTGGACAGAAGCCCAAGAGAGGGTGGGTATGACCCAATGCTGATGGGGGTGTCAGTATCCACTGCACTAATGAGGATATCCTACAGAGTGGGGTGCTGTCATATGGCCTGGGCCGGGAGAAGCCGAAGCACAGCAAAGATATCGCCCGCATTACCTTTGACGTGTACAAGCAAAATCCTCGAGACCTCTTTGGCAGCCTGAATGTCAAAGCCACATTCTACGGGCTCTACTCCATGAGCTGTGACTTTCAAGGAGTTGGCCCCAAAAAAGTACTCAGGTTAGAGATCAATATGTCATACTACCCCATCCCCTACCATCGGATAGTCTCCATAATTCCATCTCCTATACTCTCTTATCCCCAAATAACTCTCCTTTGTAAAAAAAACCCCAGCTGCCAGCTCAAGAACCAACTCTCATGTTCCCCAATCATTTGATTTTCTCTTATCTCTGCCATTTAGGGAGCTCCTTCGTTGGATCTCCTCACTGCTGCAAGGCCTGGGCCATGTGCTCCTGGGAATTTCCTCCACCCTTCGCCATGTAGTGGAGGGAACAGAGCAGTGGCAGCGGCAGGGTCGTCTCCATTACTGAGAAGGGACTCTGCACTTCTGCCCCCAGACTTGTTTCATGAGACAATGCTGAAAAGACTACGACAGCATCAGGTTTCAGGCCCTATGGACAGTGTAACCTGGACAACTCACCTGCTTTCCCCACTGTCCTCCACCCCTATATCAAGACAAAACTCATGAGCTGTTCTAACATCTTGTTCTTTTAGCTTATATCCTTTCCTGAAGAATGCTGCCCTGCTCTACCCACATTTCCAGTCTCCCACTTACCCTGAAAGGCCACAAGCCTGTCCCCAGGCATCTTGATCTCAACCTGATTGCTGCTACATTGAGATACTTACTGACTCCCTAAGCTCTAGCACACTGATGAAAGCCTTCTCTTATTTTACTTGAAATCTCTAACTTTCCTTTAAAAAAAATAACAAAAATATTTCCAGTAAAAATATAAAAATGTTTACCAAGAAGACTTTTGACTCCAATTTAAACCAGGAAAGGGAGACAGTAGGTACTCCTTTCACCCTCCCCATTAACACCCAGTTCCAGACTCCAAGGCCTCAGTCTTCAAGTACTGAGTTCAATGCCCGCCTTCGCTTGGCCATTGCACTCTGCTGCTGTTCCCAAGCTTCTCGCCGCTTCAGGAAGGTAGTCAGGGCCACATTCCGAGCCACATGGTGGCCAAAAGGGTCTCTTATCAGCTCCTGGTTCTGCTCACCTGCAAAGGGAACCACTCATGTTTAGTACCATTCATGCTCAAAGACAGGTTCTTCTTAGGGTAAAAGCCCCTCCATTTTTTCCCCAATAATGGGCCTGTCACTGAGACAGAGTGAATGCCTCACTCTGCAAAGAACAGAAGCCAGAAGGACGGGTGGAAGCAGAGGACTGCACAGTCAGTCAGCAGAGGAGAAACTGAGAGCAGACTGCTAAGAATCTATGACCAAGATCACCCTTTGGAACTCAATTTTCTGCTGAATTTAAGCCCACTCCCAGTCACCCAGCATTCTGCCATAACAGAAGGGAAAGTTAGGAAACACTGAAGACAAGCATTGGTAACTCACCCAGTTCAGCAGCAATTTCCTTTCGGGTCCTCAAAGCTGCTCCATTCCAGATGGCATCTAGGACACGGCTGCCATGGCGACTACAGGCCAGAGACACGTATTGTCCCTACATTGAGGCAAGCAAGACAAGTTCTACTAGAGAAGTGCACAAAATGTCTTCTGTGTGTCAGCAGGGGCTGGAGATAAAGTTTCAGAAGAGTTGAGAGGCTGAGTCAAAAGTCAAAACAATTTAGTTCTAGTCTCCTATCTTTGACTCTGAAGGTAGAGTCCTGGGGAAAACACACTTTCTCTAAATGGATGATGGGGGGAAATCAAGCAAAAGCCAGAAATCTCACCTTGAGGGCCTGCAGCACACGGCGGCGCTGTTTGTGTGTCACAGAGGGGCTGGACAGAATGGCATCAAGTATGTGAGAGCCAGCAGGGCTTTGGGCCAGAGCCAAAAGTTGTGGTCCTGTCAAGGAACCCAGACTTCGTAGTATAAGACCAGGAGCAGAGAAGTGCAGCAGATGCTGAAGCAGTAGAGACCCAAGCACTGTCACTTCTCCCAGGGTCCTGGCTGTGGCTATTTCTACCTGGGAGCACAGAGATAGGAAATTAGGAGGCAGCACAAAACGAGGTGGATGGGCTCATCCCCAGGTGCTGCCACCTTCACTTGGATGAAGTCAGAAGGCTCACTATCCTCACCCAAGGGGCTTCTTAAGTCCTGGAGAGCTGGTCCCCAATTAGTCAGTAACTTGGCCTTTCCCCTACCTCACCTGGTGCTCTGCAGGCACTGCCCCCTCCTCTTCCGTTAGTTCATAGTACACCTCATAAGCCGTCAAAGTGGCAAAGAGAGGCACACAGGCCACTTGCCGGGATGAGGGCTCTGCACAGTGGAATGCCTAGAGGGGAAGACAATACATGACAACTCTGAGAACTACCCCATCCTTAATCTTGACTTTCTAGACAGAAAAGACATTCAGAAAAGGTGAGAAGGCCTAACTCTATAAGAAAGTAAGCTCCGTGAGGGTAGGATCCCATCTACCTTAATGTATCCCCAGCCTTCCTCCACACATTAACACAAGGGTTGAATAAACACTTGTCCCTTAAATAAACTTCTCTTTCAGTTCTGGGAGAGAATTTTCACTCCAGGGCTTAGCATCAGACCTCTTGGTCCAGAGGTACAATGCCTTAAGTCCTAACTGGTGTAATTTAGACCAAGGGCAATAATGGTTTGCAAATAACACCTACTCACCTCCAACAATAGCTGCAAGACCTGGGCTTGGTAAGCTCCAACTCTGCGGCAGGCCCCCACCAGGGCAATGACTACCCCTGGGTGGCCCTGGGCCAGTACAGCTTCCAAGGCAGGACTCAGTTCCTCAAACACAGGAGACAGCTGAGGGGAAACATGGGATGATCAATCTTTGGCATTCTGCTAATGGTGGACTACATTATTCAGAGGAATTTTCCAGCTGAAAACAACTAAAAATGCTAAATAAAACATAAAAAGCACTAACAATGTTGAGACTTTGGTTTGGTTGAGAAAAACCCAGAGTATTTGGGCAGTCTTAGAGGTACCACCTCACACAGGGAAGGAACTTTAAATGGCCGCTATGTATAGGGGAGAATTAGAGGTAAGGGAAAACTAGAAATAAGCCTGCCCCTTTTCAACACCTCCTAAACCATGAGACCACAGAGAAGCCCATCCTGCTGCTAAGAAGCAAAAGAAAAGAGAAGTTATGGCAAAGACCCCAGTCAGTGCTTATGGGATTTGTGGTCAAGTACTCAGAGTCTGAGGGAGCCATGGATCTTCAAGCTGCAAACCTAAATTAAGCCAGTTTCTTGATGGTACTTACACCTGAAAAGCTAAAACAAATCCTCTCTGGGAGGAGGGTACCTCCATCCTGAAAAACCCCAAGGAATAACTTTATAAGGGCAATGGACAACACATTGTCAGAGACAGGCATACAATAAAATTAGGCCCAATGAACAACAATAGCAGAAAGATACCCAGTGCAGACTTTCAAACTCACCAGCTCAGGGGTACTGATTGAATCCAGAAAGCGCTGCAAAGGGAAGTTAGCAATGGGATGTGCAGCCAAGATCTGCAGCTGTCCCTGGAAGTGATCCTCAAAGAGGCTCTGGAGCCTCGGAGGCTCCAACACCAACAGCACCTGTTCCAGGAGTCTGGAGCTAGTTTGATCCCGAAGAAATAGCAATAGGGGGCTAGGGACAAGGAGAAGGGAATCAGGCAATCTTTTGTTTTTTTAAATATTCTTATAGTTGTTAATGGACCTTTATTTATTTATATATGCTGCTGAGAATTGAACCCAATGCCTCACACATGCTAGGCAAGTGCTCCACCACTAAGCTATAACCCTAGCCCAGGAATTGGGCATCTTAACTCCACTTCATCCAAAATGCAGTTGTAGCACATCACCTCATTCATTTTACATAGTCCCATGAATTTTGATCATACCTGCCAGCTGCTGAGGAACTACGAGTACTCAGGTAGCCAATCACAGCATTGCACAAATAGGCACAAAACTGGGGCAGTTTGCGGTGTAAGACTTGTAAGGCCACTTGAAGGCAGAAGCTGGAGATCTTGTCAGTGATAAACACTGTTGAGAGGTCAGAAATGATTAAACAGCTTATCCAAAATTCAAACCACTTGTCCAACCTCAAACCTTAAACAACAAAGTAAGGGGACTATAGACACAAAACATCCATATAGAGTTACTCTGCAACATCAAACCAGATTTAAGTTTTAAGAGATGAACTTAAAAAAGAAAACAAAAACAAAAACAAAACAAAAAAAACAGAAAGGAAGAGGGAAGGAGGAGAAAGGAAAGGGAAAGAGAAGGAAAAAGGAAGAATGACCTGACCTAAGGGCTTCTGGTAGTCACCTCCATAAAATTAGATCCTAGGCCCTCTTCCTACTTTCCTCCTTACCAGCAATGTCCTTCAAAAAGCAGGAGCTCAGATTCTGAAGGCAATTCAAGAAGGCTTCAGGGACCTCAAAATCAGTTGGCTTACATTCCCGAGCTATGACCCTTTGGGTTTCTGAATGAATATCAAAAACACATGCAATGGTGAAATTACAAACTGACGTCCAGGAGGAAGAAAAATTCCATACATGAACAAGAATTCAGTTTGACAATACAGAAGAGATGTCATACAACTAAATATCTTTTCTGGATAACTGAACTGAGATGATAGTTCTGTTTTAATTTTTCTAAGAAACTTCAATCCGCTCCCCTATAGTCCATAGGAGGTAGTTCAAACTCCCCAGACAGGTATTTAAGGTATCCCAAAATCAGGCCTTATTTAAACTCTTTAATAACCTTACTTCCCAGATTTTTTCAAAAATATAAGTCTCAGCCTGTAACTGTATAATGAAATCAAATTAATCTCAACTAGTATTTTTTTAAATGAAATGAGAGCAGAATAAAATTAAAAAGGAAAGAAAATATCAGAGTAGGTTGCATATAGCAAAGGTATTGTTTCCCATACTTTTACTTGATTCTTATATGTGTACACACACATAAGCTAAAGTCATGCTTACAAAAAAACTTCTTGTGGGTTATGGTAAAAAGAAAACAAAGTTTGGGGGCTGGGTTGTGGCTTAGAGGTAGAGCGCTCGCTTCCCCTGGGTTCGATCCTCAGCACCACATAAAAATAAATAAGTAAAACAACTACAACTAAAAAATAAATATTAAAAAAAAAAAAAGAAAACAAAGTTTGAAATCCTTTGCTCCATACAAATCACCTCCCTCTCCTGCTCCCATGACAACAGCTGTCCCCTAATCATATTTGCACATGATTATCTCTAGGCCTCTATTTCCACATTTTTAATTGGTACATTATAGTTGAATGTTGTTACATATTCACACTTGTACACAATATAACAATATAATTTGACCAATATCACTCCCCAGCACTTCCCCTGTCCGACCCTTGGTATCTTTCCTCTACTTATTTCTCTTTGATTTTCACAAGATCTGCCCCCACCTTTCTTTTCCTTTTTCCTCTCTAGCTTCCACATATGAGTGAAAACATATGACCCTTGACCTTCTCAGTTTGACTTATTTTACTTAACATTATGGTCTCTAGTCTGTTTTCCTACAAAAGATGTAATTTCATTTTTCTTTATGGATGAATAAAACTCCATTGCATACATATACCCTATTTTCTTTATTCATTCATCTACTGATGGACATCTAAGCTGGTTCCACAGTTTGACTAGTAATATACACACTAATCCTTGGCCTTCTAAGCTCTGCCCCAATTGCTCTGCTAATTCTGTAGGATTAAGTCTCCTCCAAAAAGACTTACTCTTCTGCTTACTCTCTTCTTCTAAACTCTCCTTCCCACCAGATCCTTGTCCCTTTTTTTTAATACTTACCAGAAGATTTGGAGCCACCAGGCCTGGCTCTCTCAGACTCCAGAAGAGTCCCTCCTAACACCTGCAGCAGAGTTCTGACCAAGAAGCTTCCATGTGTGTCTCCGCAGTAGAAAAGAAAATCATCACAAACCTCAGAGGCTAGTCCCAGGACCAGCTCCTCCAGGGTCTCCAAGGAACCATCTTTCCCATTCTCCTCCTCCTCCTCCTCCTCCTCCTCCTCCTCTGCAGTATTCCTCAGCAATCGAGGCAGCTGCAGCAAAGTACTTTGCAGTACATGGACCCCGCACCGATGACAGGCCACAAAGCGCAAGTTGGAGCGCAGGGCAGCCCATATTCTACACAACGGTTTCAAAGGACTAAACCCCAAAAGTTCCTGCAGCATCTCACTGCCAGTCCTGTTCGTAGCCAAGGCTAGAGCCTGAGCCTCCACCTCTTTCAAAACATTGTGCACCATCAGCTCTGGAAAAAAAAAAAAAATGAGGACAGAAATATTTTAAACACTGAGAAAAGCATAAGGTCCATCACTTAACCAAGAGGCGGAGAATGAGGGCAGAGGAAGAAGGCATGAGAGAGAAAACTAAGTGCCCACACGGGGACCCCAGGAAGTTTCCATGCCTGTCCTGGATCTTGCGCTCTTGGTCCCACCCTTTAGTTGTTCCCTACCTCGTTCTTCCCCGGCTTCTGGAGCCTCTTTCAGCGCTGACAGCGCTTGTCGGAAATACCCCAAAGTTTCGGGGCTCAGGTGCGGGTGAGCATCTTGAGTCCGTTCTGATCCCCTGTCTGCAGGCGGCCGGGGATGCTGCTCGCGGCCTCGTGGGGGCCGCCCCGACCCTTTTGCTCCGCGTCCCCGTTTGCCGCCAATTGGGAACTGGCGCCCCGCCTTGTGGGGGGAGCGCGGACCCAGTCCCATATGTGTTTAGGGGCCTCTCGGTCTGGGAAATCTTCCTTAGCTGCAGAAAGAATCTCAGGCCACCAGGTGCTGGCCCACTCTTGACCAAGCTGAGGAGCGCCAGCACGCTCCTGGCGCAACGTGCTGCGTCATAGCTCCGCGACGCGGTGGGTGTGCCCAAGTCTCCCGCCCATCACCGGTGGGTCTTAACTCCCGCCCAGGACCCCGCCCCCTCGGTCCTACTTTAGAATCGGCCGGAATGCTGCTGACCCGCGCGATCCTTGAACCGCCGCTCCACGTTGTCAGCCCAACTCCAGTCAGCACCAGGACTTCACCCCGCTTCCGGACTCTGACCCTGAAGAAGTAACCTCGTCCCGCCCTGTGTTCAGAATCAACATTCTAGAGCTGAAATATATTAAAGGTCTGGAGAATTAGACTGAACGAGAATCCCAGAGGCAACACCGGCTGCAGGTAAAGCGCACAAGCTCTTCCCGCTGAAGGCTCAGGATCTCGGGGCCTCTGCGTTCACTGCTGGCTGCGCCGTCCAGTCCGGTGGCCAGAGCTGTAGGTTGCCCGAGACACACCTCGAGGAATCGCCTCTGCAAATTCTCCCACTTAGTTAGCCCTATTCATAGGGGGACGCCATCCAGCCCTTTCTTCACTTCCTGAGCCCCGCAAAAGAACAGTCAGACTGGCCTGGGGCCCGCACCTACTTGTCCTGAAACTGAAGCTTTTCTCGCATCAAAGGATTCCAACCTTGACTCTTCTTCCTATCCCTTGCAGGAACTCGCCCCCCCCCCCTCCGCCCGCCACCCACACACACAGTCTGTAGATTTTCCCGCAAGGTAACTTTTTGCTTCCACAGATATCCTTCTTTGCCTGTGAGTTATGGTAACTCCCATGAAGGGCCAAGTGTGTGTGGTGACTGGTGCCTCCAGGGGTATTGGCCGTGGCATTGCCTTGCAGCTCTGCCGAGCAGGTGCCACAGTTTACATTACTGGCCGCCATATGGACACCCTTCGGGCCACTGCTCAGGAGGTGAGTGACCACTTGAGGGAGTCCTTCCAATTAACCACACCTCCTGATCCCTTGTCTGATCTTAGAAGACCCTGGTAAAGGGCTGCAGGTGGAGCTCGGGGGTATGACACCCTAATATTCCTCAGAAAACACGAATATTTACTTAGAGTAGAATAGATAAACCGCATAAATAACTTCAGGTAAGACTGAATTTTGATACCAAATAAGTTTTATGGAAAAACTTTTTGAGTTTGAGAGTTGGAGGGGTTTGAGAATTGGAACTAAAGGGCTTTGGACCTGTGTTTTCCTCTAAGGCAGGTTTTACTGAACTGTAAATTTTCACTTAAAATTTCTGCTGGATTTCAGTAAATATTTGAGTATCTATGACTTGCTAGGCTCTGAGAAAGTCACTAGGGTTACTAAGATTAATAAAATATAATTTCGAGTCCAACAGGAAATCAGACACAGAAATCAGGCATTTCAATGTAAAGGGAATATGGTAAATACTAAGAGAGAGAGAGAGATGCACAGAATGCTGTAAGGGTGTGAAGGGAGCTTGAAGATAATAAAAGGAGTGGTTAGGAAAAGCATTCTGAGCCGGGTGTGATGGCACATGACTGTAATTCCAGTTATTTCAGAGTTAGGAGGAGCCAAAATTCTAGGTCAACCTGAGCACTTTAGCAAGACCTGTCTCAAAAAAAAATTTTTTTAAGGGATTGGGAATGTAGCTTAGTGGTAAAACAGTTGCCTAGCATGTACAAGGCCCTGGGTTCGATCCCCAGCACCATACACCCCAAAAAATTCTGGATCTTGAAAGGTAAGAATTAGATAAAGAAGGTTAGAAAAAGCATTATAACAGAGGGAGCTATGTGGGAACAGAAGGGAAATGGTGAAAGAATATGAATGTTGCAAGGTAATGCAAGGGAAGAGTAGTAGGTGAAAAGCTGGGAAATAGTGACTCTTAGAATACCCTGGTAAAGGGCTGCAGGTGTCCAGTGGTAGAGCAGTTGCCTAATGATAGAGCAAGATGTTGAATTTGCTTCCTAGCACTGGAGAAAAGAAAACTGGTGAAGAACTTAGGCTTTATTCTCTAAGAGATGATCCAGCTACAAGATTTCAAACAGATAGTTCATACTTTTTTAGATAGTTCATACTGACTTGATTGTGAAGGGTTACTTTTTTTTTTTTTTAAGTACTGGGTATTGAATCCAGGGGCACTTTACCGCTGAGCTACATCCTCAGCCTATTTATTTATTTATTTAGAGCCAGTCTTATTAAGTTGGTGAGGCTGGCATTGAACCTGTAATACTCCTGCCTCAACCTCCCGAGTCACTGGGATTATAGGCACACCCCACCAAAGAATTAAGGCAAAAAGATTGAATGTCAAGTGAGCATTTAGAAGCACTACAGTAATTCAGTCCATGGGCTAATAATGTAGGGCTGGAGCATGGATCTGTAGAAAAGAGTGTTGTTCTTGAATAAGGTACTCTTCTTCTTCTCTGAAACTGGAGAAAGGGGACCCATTTGTAAAGAGTGAGGCAGGAAAGAAGTTGAAATAGTTAATTCCCGGTAGCTTTAGTTTTTTGATTACCAAGCAAGAACACTGGTGGAGTGAGGGAAAGAGGGCTGGGATTGAAGGATGGAGCTAAGGGCATGAGAGTTGGAAATGACCAAGGACAGGAAAGGATAGCTACTTGTTTCTGGAAGTAGACTCCATGTGTTGTCTTTTACCCTTGGTTTGCAAAATATAACACCTTGTGCATGATAGTAGTAAACGTTTGTAAATTTAAAATCTGAGATCCCAATCTTCCCTACTGAAAGAGGACTCACTGTTCCTGAAGCTTTTCAAAAAGACACCAGAGGGGGCTGGGGATGTGACTCAGCGGTAGCGCTCGCCTGGCATGCGTGGGGCGCTGGGTTCGATCCTCAGCACCACATAAAAATAAAATAAAGATGTTGTGTCCATCAAAAACTAAAAAAATATTAAAAAATTCTCTCTCTCAAAAAAAAAAAAGACACCAGAGGGCAGTATTGCCTACCATGTTGCCTGAACTGATCTTTTCACTTTCCCCACCCTCTTTCTTTTCTTTTTCTTTCTTTCTTTCTTCCTTTCTTCCTTCCTTTCTTTTTGCTGGGGATTGAACCCAGGGCCTTCTGCATGTGAGACAAGCACTCTACCAACTGAGCTATATCCCCAGCCTGCCCCCCACCCATTTTAGTTGGGGAAATTGTGTTATATCTTGTATTACTGTGCAACTATGAGCTCATATCCCCTGTTCCTCTCTAGGCACAATCCCTTGGGGGCCGGTGTGTACCTGTGGTATGTGATTCAAGCCAAGAGAGTGAAGTGCAAAGCCTGTTTGAGCAAGTAGATCGGGAGCAGCATGGGCGTCTGGATGTGCTGGTCAACAATGCCTATGCTGGAGTCCAGGTACCCTTTGAACTTGATCCAGATCTGCACTCCTTACCTCCCCCTCTGACCACTGAGTCTTCATCCCCATTGTCCCTTCTATTACCCAGCCTTTTATACCTTCTTGCGTTCAGATCATACAACCAATCACCTTTCCTATGCCTTCTAGACGATCCTGACTACCAATAAAGCATTCTGGGAAGCCCCAGCCTCAATTTGGGATGATATGAACAATGTTGGACTCAGGTATGTGCTACCCATGCCCCATTGCAGTGGCTGGGCTCCCCTCACTCATTTTACCTAAGGGCCCAAGCTTTTCCCCATATGCCCTTTTCTTTTCCCTCTGGCCTTCCCCAGTTTCTTTTTTTCCTCCCTGTATTCCAGTTGCCCTTCTTATCTCTGGAGAAATTCTATACACATGAGTGTGTATCTGAGAATGTAACTTTCACCTTGTTTCTATCCATCATTTTCATCTGAATAAGCCCTTGGCCTCACCCCTGCCTCACTCTCTGCCTATCCAAATGTAAGACCCAGAAGGGAGCCTCCTCCTCTCAGTAATGCTCACAGCCTGTAGTCTATATTTTCAAAAATGGTTAGAGAGAGGAATTGATCAAGAAAATGTTAATAAGAAAGAGGGGGCTCCAGCTATCCTTAGCTTCCACATCTTCACTCTAGATCCATAGGCAAGTACATTCCCAAATCAGAGTCGGGATGGCAAGGGTGTTATGGGATCACACACATATCTGGCACATAAGTGAAATGAAGTACAGCATTTAGAATTTGTCCAACATAATAGGCAGTTATATCTATGTTAGTTACTGTTGAAACAGTTTTACCCTCTCAGATAATTAAACTATACTTTATAGATTGTAAGAATAACACTTGGTACCTGTGAGAGTAACCAAGAGATTATCTGGAAATCTATGACTAAAGCCTATAAGAACACACACTGCTTCAATTTTGGTACTCTAGTGGCAATCCCAGGAAGCAAAATTAGAATGCAATTGTGATTTCCACAGTGGAAGAAAGATTGTGAGAACAGTGAGGGATGTCAGTACAGAAGCAAGAAAGCAAAACCCAAAGAACTTAAAATTAGTCAATGATCCTTCTCCCTCAGCCTTCTGAGTCACTGAAATTATAGGTGTTCACCACTACTCCAGGCTGAAAATCAGTACAGTTTTATTTCCTTAACTGCTATCCTTCCTCCTTTGCCTGAAACAACTACCATTAATAGCCTGGTATATAGATTTTTTTATACAAGTGTCTCTCTCTCTCTCTCTCTCTCTCTCTCTCTCTCTCTCTCTCTCTCTCTCTCTCTCCTTTTTCTAATTGAACACTGGGCTTCACACATGTTAGCAAAGCACTCTCCCACTGAACTTTCTATTTTTTTTTCCCAAAGCTAGCCTCAAATTTTTCAATATCCCATTGGAAAGACTTGCAATTAGATAAATTTTATCTAATCCTTTATTTGTTGCAGCAGTAGAATTCTTTTTAAAAAAAATATTTTCAGGGCTGGGGTTGTGGCTCAGTGGTAGAACGCTCGCCTAGCACATGCGAGGCCCTGGGTTCGATCCTCAGCACCACATTAAAAAATAAAATAAATATATTGCGTCCTCTACAACTAAAAAATAAAATATTTTAAAAAATTAAAAAAAATATTTTCAGTTATATATGGACACAATACCTTTATTTCATTTATTTATTCTTATGTAGTTCTGGGAATCAAATCCAGTGCCTCACATGTGAGGCACTCTACCACTGACCTACAACCCCAGCCCCACAGCAGTGAATTCTTGAATCAAAGAAATTGTGTTAGATTTCTGTCACTGTGACAAAATGCCTGAGAAAATCAACTTAGAGGAAGAAAAATTTATTTTGGTTCAGTTTCAGAGGTTTCAGTCCATAGTCAGCTGGCTCCATTGTTTCTGAGCCTGTAATTAGACAACATATCATGGCGAAAGGATGAGGTGAAATAAAGCTGCTCACTTCATGGCACCCAGGAAGCTGAGAGAGAAAGGAAAGGGTCTGGGGAAAGAGACCCTTCAAGGACATGCCCCTAGTGACCCACTTCTTCCAACTAGGCCCCACCTCCCAAAGTTTCCACCACTATGCCACCTTCTGTGAACTAAGCCTTCAGCATGTGAACCTTTGGGGGACGTGACAAATCCAAACCATGACAAATATGTACTTCTTAAAGATTTAATAAATATTATAAAACTGTCTTCCAAAAAGATCCCACCAATTTTTTAACTAGGGATTGAATCCTGGGGCACTTTACCAGTGAGCAACATCCCCAGCTCTTTTTAATTTTGAGACAGGGTCTCTCTAAGTTACTTAAGGCCTCACTAAGTTGCTGAGGCTGGCCTTGAACTTACAATCCTCCTGCCTCAGTCTCCTGAGTTGCTGGGATTACAGGTATGAGCTACTGCACCGGCATTCCAACCAATCTTTAATCTCAAAACAATGAAGTGGAATAATTTGTTCCGTCACATTCTCAGCTATGCTAGACAATATCAAGCTACTCAGGCCAGCTTTGCTACTCTGATAAGCCAAAGTTGTATAAGAGCTTTGCTTTGTTTTAATTTTTGCACAATACTTGGATTAAGGGCCTTGTACATGCTAGGCAAGCACACTACCACTGTACTACATTTCCAGCCCTTTTTTGTTTTGAGACAGGGTCTCCCTAAGTTGCCTAGGCTAGCCTCAAACTTGTGATCTTCCTGCCTTACCATTCCAAGTAAGTGAGATTACAGGCTTGTGACAGTGTGCCTGACCATAAAGGTGATTTTAATTGATATTACTTTATTTTTGAGGTTGACCTTTTATCCCATTGTTTATTGGCTTTTTATACTTTTGTGATTGTCATTTGTGTTATGAAGTTATTCTTTTTCACAATGATTTATAAGAGATCTCTAACAGATACCTTTGGCATATATTGTACTAATATTTTCCCCAATTTGTCACTCATTTTTTGTATGCATATCCTTCTCTAGTCTCTCTACATATACAGAAATTGTGTGTGTGTGTGTGTGTGTGTGTGTGGTATGTGTGTGTACGCGCGCGCATGTCCCCATGAGTGTCCTAACTATTAAGAAGTCATATCTTTGGGTTGTTTGGGATTTTTGTTCGTTTGTTTTGTACCAAGGATTGAACCCAAGGATTCTCTACCACTGAGCTACACCCCTAGGCCTTTTTTTGTTTAATTTTTTATTTCAAGACAGGGAAGTTGGCCTCAAACGTATGATCCTCCTGCCTCAGCCTCCTGAGTAGCTAGGTTACAAGGCCTGCATCACTGTGTCCAGCTAAATCTGTCAATCTTGTTTTATAATTTCTGTCTTGGTGTGATGCTAAGGAAAGCCTTCCCTACCTCAAGTTTATAATTTCAATCAGGTTTTCTTTTAGTACTTTTGTGCATTCAATTTTTTATATTTAAATATTTGATCCTTTTGCAGTCCATTTTGAAATATAGTAGAGAATCAGTTCTTTCCAACCCAAGTAAATGGTCGCTTGTCCATCTCTTCTCCATTGATTTGAAATGTTCCCTTTATGCTATGTATGTACTTACACCTGGATCTATTTATTGACTGTTTTTATTTCATTAACTTACTTCATTAACAGATACCTTTGGCATAACTTGTCCACCTTATGCCAATACTACATTCTTTTGATTATTATGTCATTGTACATTTTAATATGGTGATAGTGCAGGTAGCAAACCCCCTTTACCTACAAGATACTATTATTATTTTTCAGAATTTTCCTGGCTGTCCTTGCACATTTATTTTTATCATTGATCTTTATTTTGTCAGTTCTTCCAAAAAGTCTTATTGAGATATAACTCAAATTGACTACATCTGTGAATTAATTTACATAGAACAGATGCTTTATATGTCAATTCTTTGGATCATTTTATCTGCACTTGTTCTTTTATAGTTTTAGAATTTTTCCATTTAGACCCTATACATTTCTTAAGTTTCTTTCCCCTGAACTATTTTATATTTATAATTGCCATTGTAACATGGCTTTTTGGTCTTCTAAAGATTGCCATTTCTCTTCCCAGAATGTGGCCTCCAGCCCTATGCAGCCTCCCTGGCTGACTGCAGCCACTAGAGGGCACAGGAGGCAGCCAAGGGCGGTAGTGTCAAGGCCAGCATCTGTACCATTCATTCCTCCTTCTTCCCTGCTAGAGGCCACTACTTGTGCTCAGTATATGGGGCACGGCTGATGGTACCAGCTGGCCGGGGGCTCATCGTGGTTATCTCCTCCCCTGGAGGTCTGCAGTATATGTTCAACGTCCCCTATGGTGTGGGCAAAGCTGCGGTAAGGACACAGTGGCACAGGGATTAGGGAGAGATAGGACAGTGATGATATTTACAGCTTGGGAGGTACAATACCCAGTGGTCAGAATGATAATTCTGACTGTTCTTCATCTTTCTCTTTGTTCCATGAATGGTTCCTTTTGGACTCCCTAGGTTTGCCAGAGTAGATATTGCATGGGGGAAAGTGGGCTCTTGGAAAAGTGCAAGGACCTGGGGCATCCCCATTGGAGACAAGAAGGGCAGGGGAGGAAGGTGACATGATCAGGTGCCTTGACTCTCATTCTACCTTCTATCCCTCCAAAGTGTGACAGATTGGCTGCTGACTGTGCCCATGAGCTGAGGCACCATGGAGTCAGTTACGTATCTCTGTGGCCAGGGTTGGTACAGACAGAACTACTAAAGGATTACATGGCAGAGAAGGGGTACTCTGAAGATTCTCGCTTTAAGCAGGTTGGTAAAGGGAGGGGAAGGGAAATGGAGAATGTAGGGGAATCACCCTCTCCATCCTCAATGACAAGACAATGACAAGTAAATATTCCCATTACCTGGGGCAGGCATAGGGCTAAGCACCATACACATATTATTTCTTTTGATTTTGTAAGGAAAATACAATCTCCATATTACATATTGAAAAACTGAAACCCAGAAGAGTTAAGAAACTTGTTCCATGGCTGGGGATATAGCTCAGTGGGTAGAGCATGTGCTTAGCATGTGCAAGCCCTGGGTTCAATATTCAGCACCAAAAAAGAAAAGGAAGAGAAGGAAGGAAAAAACTTGTTCCAGATCATACATGTCATAAATGGAAAAACTATCTAACTCCAAAGCCCATGGACTTGACCCCTGCATTAAACTAGCCTCAGGGCTTAGGTGTGGCTCAGTGGTAGTGTACTTGCCTAGCATGTGTGAAGCACTGGATTTGATCCCCACATAAAAAAAAAAAGAAAAAACTAAATAAACAAAATAAAGGTATTATTTCCATCTACCACTAAAAAAAAAAAAAAATTAAAAAAACTAGACACCCTCAGACCCTTCTACTCAGGAAAGGCAGCATGTCGTAGTGCTGGGTGCAGGGCTTGCCAGAACATGGAGAGAAATGGCTCTGGGTCCCTTCTATTACACTGGATCCTGCAAGTCCAGCATGAGATCTTTGGTCCCTCTTTCTCCTAGAACAGAAGTTAAAAGGGGGAAAGATTTGGCAAGCACTCTACCTCTGAGCCACACCTCCAGCCCTCAAGGAGGAAAGATTTGGGCAGTACTCTTGGAAATTAACCCTTTACTTCTCAATCAATTTTTCAGTTTGGACCAAATTTCTCGTCGGCAGAAAGTACAGAAATGAGTGGCAAATGTGTGGTGGCTCTGGCAACAGGTGAAGACACTGGAAACACCTGGTAACAAGAAAGGGTGTGGAGGATCTGCAAGGCAGTGGCAGCCAGTGTCTAGTTTTGGTTTGGGAGGCTATTGAGGAATATGCCCATCTTTTTTCTCTTTTGGAAGCTCAAGGGTCAGGATTCCTAGTTCAAGCTTTGCAAGCCTCAGCAACTGGCTCCTGGAAGGTGTGGCTAAGAGCCTTCCTAGGAACAGAGAGAAACAGTTCTCCAGGCCTCCCAGCCTGTCTCAGCAGTGCCTTGTCCTAGTGGGTACCTTGTCACTCTGCACCACTCCTATGCCTGCTATCTCCAACTGTACATTTGTCCACAGACCCCAATATCCTGAGTCTGAGTGGTAAGGTGCTACCATCATGTGACCTTGCTCGACGCTATGGCCTTCAAGATGTGGATGGTAAGAGCTGGGCCCAGCAGCCAGACTTGACTGCCATTTCTTTTGTTCCCTGCTCACTCCTTTCTCTCAGTCTCTTTAGCCAGGGTCAGAGTGCCTGAGAAGTGGGAAACAAGGATCAAATTCTCCTTTTTTGTTCCCAGGTCGCCCTATCCAAGACTATTTTTCTTTGCACTCTATTCTTTCACATGTCTCCAGACTGGGCTGGCTGGCCTCCTACTTGCCCAGCTTCCTCCGCATGCCCAAGTGGATTATTACCCTCTACACCAGCAAGTTCTAACTCTCCTGTCCTGACGTCACAGCTCTGCTTCTCTTCCCTTTGGGGCTTGGGTGATTGGGACAGTGGAACAATTGGCCTTTCTTGCATATCGTGCCCTTGATATGAAGAGAAGGCCTCTGCTTGGCATCCATGGTCAATTCTGAGTGCCCCGATAGGTCCTTCTTTATGCCTTTGTTTTCCTTGTCCCTACAGTTTACTTTTCGCATCAATATTGAAAAATGCTCTGGAAGCTAATAAAGATCCCATTTTTCCTCCCATGTGTCTGTGAGTACTAACTCTGTGCTCAGAAAGTGACAAGGACTTGGGAGAATGACTCAAAGATGCACAAATGTGTGAGTTCTCAAAGGGTTAGGATAAGACCCGTTTCCTCCAGACCTATTTCTGCTCTTTCCTGCAAGGCCTGTTTCCTGTGCCCCAGCTGGGAGGGAAGCAGGGTCCCTTCTTGACAAGAAGCACCCAATCTCCCACTGCTTTTACTCTCATTCCACTCTCTCCATAGATATCTGCTGCCTTCTAGCTGGGATCTCTAGGTGAGGTTCCATTCAGCAAGGGCAGATTTCTGTCTGTGATTTCCTGGAATGAGGAAGAATTTACTGGCAAAACCCCAGGAAAGGAAAGAGGAATGGCTGATGGCAATGATGCACTGTCATTGGAGTAGTATCACTTGAATCAGTTCCTGCAGAACTGATTGCATAAGCCCTTCAGGGTCATCTTGCTTACTCGGTTAAACTGCTATCCAGCACAAAAGGCCACAGGAGGCCAAGGGCAGTTCTCCAAGAACCACATGTATCAACCCTAATGGCACACTGAGGGGGGCACCAAACACAAAAATGAAAAAAGGTTTCAGGGGCATCTGGACAGACCCTGTCATTGTCAGCTGTAGGAGAATTTAAGCAGAAGACCTGCATGATCAGACTGCATTTGATGAAGCCTTCTGGGGCTGAGGTGTGTGTAGATGGAACAGAGGGAGGAGAGGCAGGCCTGAGAGAAGCAATGGCAGGAGGCTGGTACAGTGTCCACATTTCCAGGAATGTGATCAGTGAAGGTGTGGGCTGAGGAGAGATTGTAGGAGGCAGCACCTGCAGACCAGGGTCTTCAGTCAGGACAAGACTTCAACAGTATTATTCCTGGCATGGGAGACCAAGAGACCAGCCCCAGGCACAGGGAGGAGAAGGCGGTTTGCCCATGGCTGGCCCTAGTGGGACGCTGAGGGACTGGCTGAGATGCAGCCCACCCTACCCAAGCAAATCGAGGTGCTTCACAGGTCCCTGGAAGATGATTAACCCCCCAAAGGAGCCCATTGAGGAATGAAGAAAAGATTTTGTTTTGCATTTTTAATTTACATTTTTCAGAGATAACATATCTGCATGGCCCAAGATCCAAAAGAAGGTTGTACAGTGAAAAGTCTCACATCCCCTGCCCACTAGTGCTCAGTCCTCAATCTGAGGCGGACAGTACTACCACATTCTCAGGTAGCCACAAAGAGCCCATGCCTATACAAGCAAATATATAAACATCCAGAGAAGAGAATTGGCCTCTCTTTCTCCAGCTAAGGGGTTCTGTTTTCTTGTCTCTGAGACCTGTTCTGACCTTGTGTCCCACCTTTCTAAGGTAGGCAGCTACCCTAGGCCCAAAGACAGCATCCTTTCCAGTCCTATGCAACTGTTCCCATACCTATAACTTCCCTGCTCCACCAGCAGGGAGGGTGAGAGAAAGAGTGTGTGTGTGTGTGTGAGAGAGAGACAGAGAGAGAGAGAGAGAGTGAGAGAGTGTGATGGCTTAAGGAGGAAAGACTACAGGCTGTGGAGAGGTGCTGTGAAAGCCTGGAAGAGGCCAGTCTGAGGCTCAGCCCAGCCCTGATCTCCCCCACTAAAGCAGGCCAGGTCTCACCTGAAGTGAAATTCTTTTTCTAGAGCAGCTACCCATGTGTTAGGGGTGTTGAAATGAGACAGACTGGAGCCTATGCCCACGGTGTCCCCATGGATATGAGCTCTGACCAATTTCCCTACACTAAATAGGAAGGTGATGGAGGCAGAGCTGGACTGAGGTATCTAAGATTCCAGTTTTGGGAACAAGTCGATGAGGAGTTTCCATTAACTGCTTAAGGCCCCTTTGACCCGTGATGGGAGGGAAGTTCCCTGGCCTGGCAAACAAGGATAGTAGTAAAGTGAATGAGGTAAAGTGAGTCATGCTGGGGAGGGGGTTCAGGCATGATGAAGGACATGCATAAGGGCCCCACAGGAGCTGAGTTCAATGAGTAAATCAAGCCAAGGTGGCAGAGTTTGGAGCTGTCCTTTTTCCTCTTCCTCATCCTCACCCCCCAAAGGCCTCCAAGCTATCTTTGAGAGTCAGATGAGACATCTGGTCCCTTTAGCTGTTTAGCCTTCCATCCCTGGGGAGAACCCCCACCATGACCTCAGAAGTCACTTTGCCATGGCACCTCCCCCATCACCTCTGGTCCCTGGTCCTCTTCCCTAGGATGGTTCATCTCCTCCACAAAACTCCTCCCTGGGATTTTCTGCCTGTGTCCTCAGGTTTCCCATTGTTCCACTGTACCTCCTGAGACTCAGTCCCATCACCTGTTCTTGTCACAGGAAAGCAGGAAGCTGAAACTCCAAACCTCGGTTCTTGTGTTCTGAAAAAAAAAAGAATTGAAAGTCTGACACCAAAAGCCAGGCAAAAGAACTTTATTATAAGCAAAAGTAAAGAGAAAGTAAGGTGAAAGCAAAGTGAGGCTTAAGCAGAGCACTCTCAAGAGTGGGCCATCTCTAAGCAGAGAACGACAAAGGAGATAAGCTGTCTCCAAATTTACTAGTTTTTGGGTTTTTTTTTTTTTTTTTTTTTTCATGTTTACCAGGAGAATTGGGGACCACTTTCTGTACTCTTTGCCACTTAGGTGTTCAACTTCTCCTTCACATTGGGCGGTGGAGTTTTTGACCTTAGTTGGTCCTCTCTGGAACTGTCATGGTGGCTGTCCTATTTAGGGGGCTTCATCTACCAGTCAGTCCCATGTTAATATGGGCACTGGGATCAGTAGCTAGTCAAAAGTTACTTTAGTGCAGCTGCGCTACTAAAGGACTCTTCTTACTGAGACCAATGGAGATACTGATAACCATAACTCCTAGCTTCACATCAGCATCATTGCAGCCTGTCAAGAGATAGTCCCATGAATCCTTTTCTTTTGACATATATTTTCTCATTAGCTCCTTTGCTTCTGCTTATTTTCTACAAATTAACTACCACCCTTTGCTTTCTCATCTACTTTGAAAGTAGTTTAAAGAAGACCCTAATATAAGAACACTTGTGACCTTGCCATGATTACACTGCTTATTGCTAACTACTACTAACATTCCCAACTGACTCCTCCACTGGAATCTTTTCTCTAAACTTCCATCTCTTAGTCAACTGGTATTTGTTGCTACTCTTCAGTGCCCAGCTCTGGGCAGGAAAGAGTGGACACATATAAGCAAGACTGTAAAACAAAGGTTAGTTCTCCAAGACCTTTCTGCTACCATCAGGAGACAAACACTTCAGGGTAGGGACTCAGAGAAGCAGGAGGGGTCACAACCCCCAGGATCTACCCTAGGCTGCACACAACCCTTTCCTATCAAGTTTCACCGTCTACAGGGAGTTACAGCATTCTTATCTCTGCCTTTTTTTTTTTTTTAACCCAGGGACACTTAACCACTGAGTCACATCCCCAGACCTTTTTTTGTATTTTATTTAGATACAGGAACTCACTGAGTTGCTTAGGGCCTCTCTAAGTTGCTGAGGCTGACTTTGAATTTGTGATCCTCCTGCCTCAGCCTCCCAAGCTTCTGGGATTACAGGAGTGGGCCACCAAGTGTAGCCTTTATCCTTGCCTTTCTCTGTCAAACCTACCTCTGCCTCAGCTCCTGTCTCCAGGTGGCCAAGAGTGTCCTCATCCATCTCAGTCTGTCCTGATTCCCTGCCTGACATTGGTTTGTCAGATCCCCAACAAATACACACCTGTGGGTGTTCTCACCCACAGATCATCCCTACATTGAGCTGAAGAGGAAGATTCACCCCAGGACTAGGCAGAGGTTAAAGAGAGGGACAGTCTAGATTTTTCTACCAGGAGGTATCAAAGATAAAAACATTTGAATGTTAATTTTAAAGAGTGAAAATAGATTTTATTCAGCATCTGGTGATAGTAGGAGAAAGAGTTGAGCTCCATTCTGATTAGTGCAGAGGTGACTTTGGTGATTTAAAAGGATGGGGGAGTGGGGAGTGAGCAGAGGCGCAATACAGTCAGTCAGTATGGTTAGGCTAGTTGTGTTTGTTATCAGTTATCTAAATTAGGATTCTCACCTTGAAGAAATGGAGAAACAGGCCATTTCCTTTTTGATGATAACATTTCAAAGAAAGGGCTCTTAGGTCCTTGAGAGATGCTTCTGCTTGTAAGAGATACATATTTGCAACTATATATCTAGCTCCATGGTGCATGCCTGAAATCCCAGTCAATCAGGAGGTTGAGGCAGAAAGATCACAGTTGGAGGCCAGCCTCAGCAATTTAGTGAGACTGTCTCAAAGTAAAAAGGGCTGAGGATATAGCCCAGTGATATAGCACCCCTGAGTTTAATTCCTATTGCTGTGGTGGTACATGCTTGTAATCCCAGTGGCTTGGGAGGCTGAGACAGGAGGATAGCAAGTTCAAAGCCAGTTTCAGCAAAAGTGAGGCACTAAGCAACCCAGTGAGACTCTGTCTCTAAACAAAATACAAAATAGAGCTGGGGATATGGCTCAGTGCTTGAGTGACCCTGAGTTCAATCCCTGGTACCCTGGTACTCCCCCAAAATGAATGAATAAATAAATAATCCCTATTGCTGTTAGGGAAAGAAAGAGAAAAAAAGAAACCTAAGCCCATTTTAATAGATGATCTAAGAACAGGAAGGTCAGGGGTCTAGCATAAGGTACAGACTAGAACATATAGTAAATTTTCCTGGCAGCACTGAGTTTTCTCAAGCAGGCACTTTGGTGGGGTAGGGGGCTAGTGACATCCTAGGGACATGGCCTTATGCTGCTAAAACCCATGCTAGAGTCTGGTCAAGTCTCTTAGTTCAGGGTTTGGCCAGAGCTGTTTTGTATCAAGAGGTCTGCAGTTCTCAGTGTGATGTACTCTCCACTGCCCTCTCCTCCGAAGCACCCAGGCCACTCAGCAAGGGACCACTTATCAGGGGTGAAGAGTTGTTCCAGCCAGGACCCAGGGACAGGCTCAGCTTGGAGTGAGGTGGAG